AAGCATTTGATTGGACAAATTGTCATCAAGCCTGAAAGGCAGTTTGGACTGCTCAGATGAAGATCTCTCAGCACTGGATTGCAGTTAAGTAAAGTGCTATTTCAATCGGTTTTCTTTTCTAACAAACAGGTGATCCCTTTAATCTAAATCACCCTGCCCTGCGATTTAAGTCACAATAAATTATTCAAATTAAGGTACTATAGTGCTCATTTAAAGCAGAGTTGAAGCTTACTGAAGCCACACACAGAACATAATACAACCTAAATCCAAGGGGAGACGAGCAGAGAAACGTTTTAGGTTCTCTATTAATCAAGGACATTTGGGAATTGGCTTTGCATAAGTGATCAATAATATAATGCTAAAATATTAACCAAAAACACCTAAGTATTGTTGTGTCTCATTATACCAGAACAGCTACATTATGGCTATCCTCAACACACTGTTTAATTCCACTTTGATGTTCCTGACACCCTCTCCAAAAAAGCCTACAATATTTAAGCCATAATCTGCCTCTTCTATCACAATCCCTCTCCTAATTATCCTATTACATATCACATGGGGCAATACTTGACTGAGTTATTGGTTTACTGTAAATCAAAGAAGGAGACTCTTGCCTCAAGTCTTGCTTTATGGGATGAGGTATGCAATTGCTGTGGCGGGCCGTATTGGTTGGCAGTGATCATACCCCTGGGGTAGTCTTTGACAGGCTATTGCTTGGCAGCATAACTTGTGAGGCATCCAGAAAAGCTTGGAACATGTCAGGATCCCTGAAATTCTCAACTCACCATCACAGTGATGGGCACATGATTAATACGACGGGCATGATTGCATGCCTTGGGGTGCTATCAAAAGCAAGGTTTACTCATACACCATCCAGCATTAGCCCAGTTTTATAATGATTAATGAGACCAACAGCTCATGATGACTTCATCTGAGTGATGCACAAGGAATGTCCAGCATCACTAAGTCATTAATGTTGATATATGATATGTCTACAATTGGGAAGTGGTCATAAACAAACTGAGCTCAGCTCTATTGTCCAAGACCTCTCAAGAAAGCTTGAAGTAGGTAAAGTGCCATATCTTTTGCTCTTTTTCAATGATGATAGCATTAATTACATCATTATGGTGGAAAACATCATGCTAGGACCAAGAGGACAAAGAATAAGATATAAAATGTACACAGTACAGAAAAAAAAGTAAAAAATTCTATTTTCATAAAACTTTCATTTTAGTGAGCTGAATAATCCCCAATTGTCTGGTCTGTTCTTAGCTAAAATATGTTGTCTTAAATCAACCACTCCATACACACTTGTGAGGTTTTAAGCATTGTCACAACAAAAAGGCTCCTGTTCCAGTCTCTAGTATGTCATAATAAATGTAGTGATTAGCAAAAAAAAAAAATATGGGGAAAAAAAAAATTAAAGGTTGCAGGTCTAATTACATACCCTCACTCATAGGCATCCCAGAAAGAAATAGTATATGTACACCCAAACATTTGTATTTTGTGCACTTGCTGAGTTAGAAAATGTACGAGTCTCAAACTTCTGTAATAGGGTCTTTCACAGCTTTCTGTGCTAAGCAGGAGTTAATGAGACATACCCATATATCAATACAGGTACTTCATTGTACCACAATCTACCACAGTTGTTTGCAGATTAATTAGCATTTGATTACTACTGGGGCAGCCTTTATGAGCTATTGCTGGGCTGTTTCATATGTAATGCATCCAGCAATAATGCGAACCTCGGTGGACCTCATGCTGTCTCACAATGATCAATATGACTACAGACTACCACAGTAAACAACACATGCAGGATTATCCTATTTGGGCCTATTACTGTAATATCCATCAATAGCCCAGTGTTGCCAAAATTGGTTCAACCCTCAGCTCCTGGTGATGTCATTCAGGATGATATACAGGGTACATGAGGCATCCAACTATTTCATGTTACATGCCAGGTCCCAGACACCTGCATACAATGAGAAACATGTGACTGTTGTATAGTTTTATATTTCTATGCATGGGTTTGACGGTTTGAGTCATTGTTTATAGATACATTTTACAATTTTATTGAATAATAAAAGTAATTACAGAAAAGTCCTTTATATAGTCCAGCTCTACTATCTGTGCTTAATGGGACCCTCTCAGCTGGGCTAAGCAGCCTCCATTGCTTTCATCAAATCACCTCCATCCAGGATGGTCAAAATTGACATTGATAAGTGTAAATTCTACATTATTAATGCAGCGGAGAAGGTGACAATCTCCAGGTGCCACGGAGAGTCTTAGTTTTTGTCAAAATTGATCCTAAATGGTTGGGCATAACATTTGGTGACAGTGTGCAGACATTCTAGGCCACATATCCACTATATAGTGCTGTAAGGGCTATGTTGCTTATAGTGCCCCTTTAATATTGATCACAATTAAAGGACCACTCTAGGCACCCAGACCACTTCAGCTTAATGAAGTGGTCTGGGTGCCAGGTCCAGCTAGGGTTAACCCATTTTTTAATAAACATAGCAGTTTCAGAGAAACTGCTATGTTTATTAATGGGTTAAGCCTTCCCCTAATCCTCTAGTGGCTGTCTCATTGACAGCCACTAGAGGCGCTTGCGTGCTTCTCACTGTGATTTTCACAGTGAGAGCACGCCAGCGTCCATAGGAAAGCATTGTAAATGCTTTCCTATGCGACCGGCTGAATGCGCGCACAGCTCTTGCCGCGCGTGCGCATTCAGCCGATGGGGCGGAACGGAGGAGGAGAGGAGGAGGAGAGCTCTCCGCCCAGCGCTGGAAAAAGGTAAGTTTTAACTCCTTTCCCACTTCCAGAGCCGGGCGGGAGGGGGACCCTGAGGGTTGGGGCACCCTCAGGGCACTATAGTGCCAGGAAAACGAGTATGTTTTCCTGGCACTATAGTGGTCCTTTAACCCCTTAAGGACACATGACATGTGTGACATGTCATGATTCCCTTTTATTTCAGAAGTTTGGACCTTAAGGGGTTAAACTTCTTCTTAAATGAAATGAATAAAAGCACTCAAGTTCTTGCTGTCCGTAGGTAAATTATTTTCTTGTTCAGGAAAGGTAAGATATCTAGACGCGCGTGACACAATGATTAGAGAAACCCCAAGATATCTCACTTGTGACCGTTTCTGGACTGGGAACGAAAAGCAGCCCTGGCAAAAATGCTATACCAGCCCCATAATGCGTTGTGCCTGCGTAGTGTGCAGATATAGAGGCAGAAAAGATAACTTAAAATTGAAAATGAAAAACTATTACTCCAAAGTGAAACAAGCACTCACAGGACGTCACAAAAAAAGTGCAAATTTATTTTAAAGGGATCCTATAGTTCCAGGAAATCCCGTTTTCCGGGCACTATAGGCTCCTAGAGTGCCCAACTCCCTCGAGGCCCCCCTCCACCGGAGCTGAGGGGGTTAAAACGGAGAATCCAGAATCCAGCGCAGATGTCCCTCAGCGCTGGGTCAGGCTCCGCCCATGCTCCTCCCCCACCATCGCCAGCCGCATTAGACCTACCTATAGGAAAGCATTAATCAATGCTTTCCTATGGGAAAAACTGACGCTGGAGGTCCGTGAGGACGTCCAGCGTCAGATAACAGACCAAAAGTCCTTTGGATTGCGGAAGCCCTCTAGTGGCTATCTGGTAGACAGCCACAGAGGGCAGACTTAGAGCTGCAATGTAAACATTGCAATTCATTTGAAACATCACCCAGTCTACTGGGGTCACATCACCCAGTCTACTTCAATTAGCTGAAGTAGTCTGGGTGCCTACAGTGTCCCTTTAACCCCTTAAGGACACATGACATGTGTGACATGTCATGATTCCCTTTTATTCCAGAAGTTTGGTCCTTAAGGGGTTAAGCGGTCGTGCATTTGCATACAATCAATGTTTCAGTACAACTACCTTGACATATTAAGAAAAATTTGATAATGGGACTGAAATAGTGAATGTATGTGTCTTCTTTACCCCAGCCCCTCCATGTTTATTTTAGAGTAATATGGGTGTGTTCTTCACTTTTCAAGTTTGATACGGCATTGGGAGGCTATTGCGCATGTGTGGCAAAACGCTGCGCCACGACACATTACACCAATAAGCATCTCCTCATAGCGAACAATTAAATAAATGCATCTCTATGGGCATCATTCAGTGCCTCAATGCAGAGTGTGGAGACGCTCAAGGTAGGTGCTGCACACTGCACAGCACTGGACTAGTAAGAACCTCTAGTAGCTGTCTGAGTGACTGTCACTATAGATGTTCCTAGGCAGAAATGTAAATACTACCTTTTCTTTGAAAAGGCAGCATTCACAGTGCTCAGCCTGCAGGGACAGGATATAGACACCAGTACCACTACATTAAACTGTCCCTTTAATAAGATGTCTTTCTCTCACCTGTAAATCAACTGTGCTGAAGAACTGAATTACAGAGAGAGCCGGAGACAGGAGAAAATGCATTTCCCCCACACCAGAAGACCATATGTCTTTTTCCTCCCCGACAGCCCATTCATGTGTCCTATTCCCTTCCCAGCCTCTCCATGTGTCCCATTCCCCCAGCCCCTCCATGTGTCTTATTTCTCCTCCTCAGCCCCTGTGTCACGAACGCACCCTACTCCAAGAGTGTGCGTGACGTAATTGTGGTGGTGAAAGGGTTAAAGTTCACTATTTGTCTGCACTAGACCGGAAATAATGACAAAATCCCCCTTTTAACACCACCCACACTTAAACATAATAATATAACTATTACTATTTTAACGCTGCCACCACCAAGACAATTTATAAATGGGGTGCCTTGGTCCCCCAGGTAAAACAATAACAAAACCCACCAAATATTACTTAGCACAATATTTAAAGAATTGCAAAAATACTAATTAGTCTCTTCAGGTAACGTGATTCTTAACCAGACAAAGGCAAAACTTAATAAATGAATGTTTATTATGAGCAAAAATAGTCACAGTGCATATAACAATATATGATTAACAAATTATTTACACCAACAACAGATAAAAAACAAAAAGAATAAAATACAGAAGTCCTAATTACTCACTTAGGTTTTCAAAGTACAACTTCTGTCCAGGGGGTCTCTGGCAAGGAAAGATGGTGACTCACTTTGAATTAGATTCTGACCCCCAAGCAAGTACACCAGCACCCTTCAGGATCATTAGAGATATACCCTGTGGATTACCACTGTAACCCCTGTTAATCTCAGCAATAGCATCTCTGTAATTTGTGCCATTTACTACACAAATTACATTAAAGGATAATATTCCATAGTGTAATAATAAATTATACACCCTTGCCGTGACACCCTCCATGTGTCACATTGCTCCACCCAGCCCCTTCATGTGTCCCATTTCCCCCCAGCCACTCCATATGTCCCTCCTGGGCAGCGTAGCGGAGCCACGGTATAGGAGCTCCTGTTCAATCTTCTAGGTCTGCAACTTCTTCCATGTGTCCCATATCCCCCAGCCACTTTATGTATTCAACCCCCCCAGCTCCTCCATGTGTCCCATTTCCCCCTCCCCTGCCCCTCCATGTGTCTTATTTCTGCTCCCCACTCTCTCAATGTGTCCCATTTCTCCTCCAGCCCCTCCAGGTGTCCCATCCACCCAGCCCCTCCACGTGTCTTATTCCTCTCCCAAGCAGCTCCATGTGTCCCATTTCCCTACTCCCCAGCCTCTCCATGTGTCCCATTTTCCCCCTCCCCAGCCTCTACATGTGTCCCATTTTTCTTCACCCTAGCCTCTCCATGTGTCCCATTGCCCCCTGTTCATCCTGTGTAGCGTGGCTGAGCTGAGATAGTGGAGCTCCTGTGCACTCTCCCCGGTCTGACACAGGAAGCAGTTCTGTGCTCTCAGCGAGTACTTCCTGTCAGACCAGGTGAAGGAACAGGAGCTCCTCCTCCGCGCTTCCCCTTCTGCTGGTCACCCTGCAATTGGGCCATGCATCCCTGTCCGATGTGCACTAGGCACACCCGCCCAAAGGTAAACCGGCCTACCAGGAATTTTCCCAGTATCTCGGTAGGCCAGTCCGGCCCTGACTGTGACTGTCAAGAACACAAACAACAAAATATGTGAACACAACCCCAGTGAGAAATATATACAATTTAAAGCAAACCAGGACTTCCCTGTATTTAGGTGAAATATCCAGGTAAATCCCCAAAGACTTCCTCTTGTCTTCAGCAAATGTATACAAATAGAATAGGGGATAGTCTGCTAAATACAAATAAAATAAAAGAACATAGCGTTTATCTGTGTAGGGACTAATAATAGTGTGCAATCACAATTGGTCACTCACAAATTATCTGATGTAAAAGCAGCCGTGAATAATATCTTTTTCTTCAGTATCCACTGTGTTGTCCGTCCTCACACTTCCATCAGTGAATTAGTATATATGGCTCAAAAGAGAAAAATGTATACAAAAATGTAGTGCACTTCCAGAGTATAATACAAAACAATATTTTAATAACTTACATTTAGGTATAAAACAAATAGCATGTCACCATAAGAACCATAAGAACGTCCAACGCATTTCATCCTTCAATTGTGACTGTCAAGACCTGTGGCTCCTGGTCACTTTGGTTGATTGACATTCAGTGGATGTCTTCTTAAAGGGACACTGTAGTCACTATAAACATTTCATCTCTTTGAATTGGTTACAGTGCCTGGAGTACCCTGGCACTGTCCCTCCATTCAGTGTTGAACCATGTTTGTGCAGTATGCCACAAAATAAGAGTCCCTGGCCACCCACAATTCGGCCCCTTCTGTACGTGTAGCTAAGGCAGAGATTACACACTTCCTTGTTGTCATACCCATTCATACCGTCAGTTGGAGCTCTGACAGGCTAAAAGCAGTCAGCTGACACTCTCAGCCAATCACAGCTGCCCATTGCTGCTCAGGGTAATACTTCCTTATTAGCCAAAGCAGCACAGAGGGGATGGACTGCTGAGGACTCTTGTTTAGCGTTAAAACCTTAAAACATTAAAAACTGTTTAATGTTAAAAGAAATGGTGGTACCAGGGGACTCCAGACACTATAACCAGTTTAATGAGATGAAGCAAATACAGTGCCTACGGTGTCCCTTTAAGCATCACTAAGGCATTTAATGAAGCAAAAACACCTTATACAGCAACAAACGGAATAGAGTTAGTAGAGGACCAAGTTCTGGTTGTTAATACACTTGCATCAGCTCTCAAGTTTGATTGAAATCTATCTGTAAATAGAATAAACTTCCATGCCTCCATCTTTCTTACAGATATCTGTTCTGACTTGGGAACTGAATAAACAAGGAGTCTTAAACAAAGACATAATTTTTTTGTGTCCATGTGCATGTGTAGTTTTAGCATCAATGTTTTAGTCCAATTGATCCATTCGATCATATTGTGTATTCAGGTGAGTCTGAGCTGGCTAATATGATAAACAAAATCACAATAAAAACAAACACAAAACGCACTGTTCTCAGACAAAAATTGTAAGAACTTCAAGTATTCCAACTCATACTATAGCCACCTTCTGTCTAATGGACGGAAAATTTAAAGTGTCTAGTCTGTTCTTTAACTAAAACCCAACTTTTATCTTTAACTCACGTCTTCTCAAGTCTGTGTCTAATAAAGCACTTATTTTAACCGACTGAGATAGAGTCTGGTATTTTTGTGCCACATGTGACCTGGTGCTGTAGATACCTTCATATAAATGTATATGTTAAATGGAAGAAGAACCCACATACTCTTATGTTAGGGCCATTTTTTCTTTACTCATTTTGATGCTTGCCTACTACATTATGTTTTATATCGTAGATGAATCTGGCCGTTGGATTCAATGTATGTGATCACTAGTTAGTACTTTATAGTATGCCACTCTATTTTTTGCAGCTAATATAGGCTTTACATAGTGAGAGCATGATTTAATAGCTTATATCTATTGCTGGATACATTTGATTTTAATGGATCAGTGAGCAGTCCTTATACACTGAACAAAATTATAAACGCAGCACTTTTGTTTTTGCCCCCTTTTTTCAAAGATATAAGACTTTTTCTATGTACACATATGGCCTATTCCTCTCAAATATTGTTCACATATCTGTGTAAATCTGTGTTAGTGAGCACTTCTCCTTTGCCGAGATAATCCATCCACTTTACCGGTGTGGCATATAAAGATGCTGATTAGACAGCATGATTATTGCACAGGTGTGCCTTAGGCTGGCCACAATAAAAGGCCAAAACTAGAACAAAAATCTCCTCTTGGGAGAGTGTGTGTTACATAAAAGGAATTTGTGGTGAAATCTGTGTATAGCAGATCTAAACACTAATGTGGATTACCCTTTATTCCACATGCAATTAATACAGAATTTGGGTTTGGTATATAGTTAACATATACCTTAAGTGGAGCGCTATGGGTGTTGAGGGGTTGTCTTATAAAATCTTGCTTAAATCGTATACATCAAGTACATATATGAAAGATATAAAAAAAATACACAATATAGTGCAGATTGTCAAACACTGTGTGGATTAAGTGAGGTAAGGAATGGGTCACTCAAGAGCCTATATTTCTGCCTCTGTAAATAAGACTGGTATGCTTTTAGGGCAGCATCCCACCACTGTTCCTTGATGGAATTTTTCCTCTGGAAAGATAAAAACAATCGAGACATCCAATGTGTAGTATAGTTGTAGAGGTATTATAGATAAATATGAATAGGTATTGAGCTCACCTTTTTCAGAACCTTAAGGTCCTGGCTCCCGAGGGTGGTATGCTTTGTGCCACTCTAGGGGGGGGATGGCACTTCCCCCAATGAAGGTACCCGAGGCTTCAATGGACTTAGTATAAAATTTTATTTATTAATACATGCGGTATTTAAAACGAATAAAATAAACTTAGTATTTAAAATCTGAAGTCCTAATAGCCAATATGCGTTTCACTCCTCCTGGAGCTTCCTCAGTCAGCTGTAGCTTGATCCTCTGTACCGTCTGCCTTTTAAATGTCTCTTGGGACCACCCTTGAGTTCATATTTGGAGTTCAATTTTCTAATTAACCAATCTTTTGTGTCCTTAGTTCTTAGTCCCACCTATAATTATAATAACCTGTATTTCCCTTATTTTGATTGGTGAATGGGGGGGTCATCATCAGGGCCGGATTAAGAGCACAGTAGGCCTGGTGCTGACAATTATGATGGGCCTAATTACGGAATCTTATCCACCAAAAACACTAAAACAGACATACCTCCGAAGCGTCATGTATCTGATGGAGATGGTGCTGGAGGGAAACTCATAGAATGCAGCTATAAGAAAACACACACTCTATGCTAATTTATCTCTAATTTATGCTTTCATCTTTCAAGTAAATCCATGCCCCCTAACAGCAGTGTCCAGTGAAGCAGGAAGTCAATGGGCGGGGTAAAAGGGTGGGCCACTGGCGCGAATCACGGGACAAGACCTGCCAAAAGGGGTGAACATGCCCAAAAAGGGGGCATGTTTGTCCAAGGAATTGGAAGGTCAGCCTGACATGAATGCATGTCAGGCTGCCCGCCAATCCTGCAGGCTGTCCAACTAAGGGCATACTATGCAGGCAGCACCTTGAGCTTGACATAAATGCGTCTAATAATGCGCTCACTCCATGCTTTCTAAGGACTTTCCCCTAGCACTCTCTGGTCCACTTGTCTCCTTACCTTCTTACTAGCAGGCAGAAGTTCTTGGTATATAGTCTGAGACAGAGAAAAGGTGTATGTAGTGAGTGTAGAAGAAAGGGGACATGCCACAGAGACCAACGTCTGCATTACCTAAACTAACTTTAATGTCAGCCAGTGCACACAAGTTTTGTTCCCATACATCCCTCTTAAGCTTCCAAACTTAAAGGGACACTATAGTCACCAGAACAACGCTTATTGTATTTGTTCTGGTAAGTAGAATCATTCCATTCAGGCTTTTTGCAGTAAACACTGTCTTTTCAGAGAAAATAACTCCACTGGCCGCTCCTTAGATGGCTGCTAGAGGTGCTTCCTGGGGCAGTACTGCCTAGTGTGCAGCACTGCCATTCAGTGTCTCCACCCTCTGCATGCAGACACTGAACTTTCCTCATAGAGATGCATTGATTCAATTTATCTTTATGAGGAGATGCTGATTGGCCAGGGCTGGGACTTGTGCTGGCCCCTGATCTGCCTAGTTGACAGTCTCAGCCAATCCTATGGGGAAGTATTGTAATTTGCTCAGACCACCACTTCTGAGCCAGCAGCTGCAGAATTGAATACAAGTAATATTTTACTATATTTAGGGAGGCAAGAAGGGGCCAGGGTGGTGGTTTTAACATAATAGGGTCAGAAATACATGATTGTGTTCCTGACCCTATAGTGCTCCTTTAAGCAAGAGTATGTGAAGAGCAGTTAAGGTTGCCACCTTTCTTGGAAAAAAATACCAGCCTTAATCATTTGTATAATTAATTAGTTATGCGTGACATCACATGATGTAAATCACAAGGAGTGATATCAGAGAAAATTCTGTAAAATCACCAACAACCTACTCACAGTTTGATTCTGCTGTATAGATGGATTGCTCCCAGTGTCTCCCTGTCTCCCAGTGTCTCAGTCTCCCAAGTCACCCAGTGTCTCAGTGTCCCTATGTATCACAGTGTCAGTGTCCCCATGTCGCCCAGTCCCCTAATCTCCCAGTGTCTGTGTCCCCATTTCTCCCAGTGTCCCAATGTCTCAGTGTGTCCCCATGTCACTAGAATACTGGGGACACTGAGAGACATGAGGACACTGAGAGACATGGGGACACTGAGAGACCCGGAGACACAGAGACATGGGGACACTGGGAGACATGAGGACACGGAGACATTTAGGGAAACTGGGAGAAATGGGGACACTGAGACACTAGGGACACAGACACTGTGAGACATGGGGACACTGGGAGACATGAGGACACTGAGACATTTAGGGAAACTGGGAGAAATGGGGACACTGAGACACTAGGGACACAGACACTGTGAGACATGGGGACACTTAAACATTTGGGGACACTAAGACACTAGGGACACAGACATGGGAACACAGACACTGGGAGACTAAGGGACACTGGGAGACTAGGGGACACTGGCTGGGAGACAGACACTTGGGGACACTGGGAGACATGGGTACAGTTGTGGACATAGACATGTGGACACTGGGACATATAGGGACACTGGGAGATATGGGGACACCAGGCACACTGAGACACTAGGAACACAGACACAGGGAGACATGGAGACACTGAAACATTTGGGGACACTAAGATACTAGGGACACAGACACTGGGAGACTAGGGGACACTGGGAGACTAAAGGACACTGGCTGGGAGACAGTTGTGGACATAGACATGGGGGCACTGGGACACATGGGGACATTAGGCACACTGAGAGACATGGGACACAGACACTGGGAGACTTGGGGACACTGAGACACTAGGGACACTGGCTGGGGGACATAGTGTCTCCGTGTCCCAATGTATCTCAGTGTCTCCCAATGTCCCTATGTCTCACAGCGTCCCCATGTGTCTCAGCATCCCCATGTGTCTCAGTGTCCCGTAGTGTCTCAATGTCCCCAGGTCTCCCAGTGTCTGTGTCCCCATGTGTCCTAGTGTCTCAGTGTCCCCTACTGTCTGTGTCCCCATGTGTCCCCAAGGGTCTGTGTCCCCTAGTGTCTCAGTGTCCCCATATGTCCCCAAGTGTCTCAGTGTCCCCATGTTTTCCAGTGTCCCCAAGTGTCTGTGTCCTAGTGTCTCAGTGTCCCCTAGTGTATGTGTCATCATATGTCCCCTAGTGTCTGTGTCCCCTAGTGTCTCAGTGTCCCCATGTGTCTCCTAGTGTCTCAGTGTCCCCATGTGTCCCTGCTGCCTTTCCCCCATCCCTCACTTACCTGAGCTGTAGGGCTGCTGTCTGGACTCTCTGTGCTGTGTAGCTGCTCCCCCGCCAATCAGTGAGTAGTAGAGAGAGGCAGGGAGGGATATTCTGTAACTTCCTATACCTGCCTCTCTCCACACACAGTGACCCCAACTGGCCGGTGCTGGTATTGCAGAGTAATTTACATTTATTCTGAGAAAATTACCTGCATTTGTATTGCCGGTATTACTGCAATACCAGCATGGCCAGGCAGCCTCAAATACCGTCTGTGCCATTAAAATACCAGTCAGGTGGCAAACCTAAGAGTAGTGTGTAAAAAAAAAAAAAAAAACATTTTTTTTTTGTTTTTTTTTTAATGGGCCTATTCCATGGGCCTGGGCCTGGGCCTGGAGCTGCAGCTCCATCAGCCCCTATGTTAATCCGGCCCTGGTCATCATATGATTTCAAATTCCATTGGTGGTTTAATGGTTGGCGGAAATGTCCGCCGGGTGTCTTATGGTTGGCGGAAGTGACATCACTACTTATGGCGTTTACTTCCCGGTTTTTACTATACAGGGCAGATGGAATACATTGTTTATGGTGTCGTGTGGGTGAGCGGTTTAATGATGTCAACGATGTGGATCGAGTAGCCCATGGTGGCGGTGGGGTTATGGTATGGGCAGGCGTATGTTATGGACAACGAACACAGGTGCATTTTATTGATGGCATTTTGAATGCACAGAAATACTGTGATAAGATCCTGAGGCCCATTGTTGTGCCCTTAATCCACGACCATCACCTCATGTTGCAGCATGATAATGCACAGCCCCATGTTGCAGGGATCTGTACACAATTCCTGGAAGCTGAAAACATCCCAGTTCTTGCATGGCCAGTATACTCACCGGACATGTCACCCATTGAGCATGTTTGAGATGCTCTGGATCGGCATATGCGACAGCGTGTTCCAGGTCCTGCCAATATCCAGCAACTTTGCACAGAAATTGAAGAGGAGTGGACCAACATTCCACAGACCACAAACTGATCAACTCTATGCGAAGGAGATGTGTTGCACTGTGTGAGACAAATGGTGGTCACACCAGATACTGCATAGTTTTCGGACCCCCCATACCACCCCAATACAGTAAAACTGAACATTTTAGAGTGGCCTTTTATTGTGGCCAGACTAAGGCACACCTTTGCAATAATCATGCTGTCTAATCAGCATCTAGATATGCCACACCTGTGAGGTGGATGGATTATCTCAGCAAAGTAGAAGTGCTCACTAACACAGATTTAGACAGATTTGTGAACAATATTTGAGAGAAATAGGCCTTTTGTGTACACAGAAAAAGTCTTAGATCTTTGAGTTCAGCTCGTGAAAAATTGGGGCAAAAACAAAAGTGTTGCGTTTATAATTTTGTTCAGTGTACTGACTTAACATGAAGTATACTTCCATTGTGTGATTGAGTCATTAAAGAAATACTCCCACCCCATAACTGAAGTGTCTTTGTAGAGGCAGAAGTGCCCTGCCCCGACGCTTTCTTACCAATAAGGGTTAAACCATTTGGCAATGGCTTAACCATGAAACTGGGGCTTCTGCGCCCAACACTTCTGTCTCTCTGCTTCCGTTCCTCCCTGCATTGCAAAATGAGGAAGGGTTATCTTGGTGGTTGGTTAAGAGCATCAGTCTATCAATTGGCACCTATTGAGAAAATTGGACATCTGTGCCCCCATAATACCTTAAACTGTTATGTTGGTGAGAATGTTCCTTTAACTTTAACTCTGTGCTTCATGATGAAGTATGAATGAATTATCCATCACCTATGCCCTTGCGAGAAGAACCTTATTCCTTGAATTGTAATTATTTTATTCAGTAATTAATGTTAAAAAACAAAACAAAAAAAACCACTTAAACGTGCTTCCCTGCACACTGGTCTCAAATACGCAATATCTACGAGTTGCTAACTAATACACATGACTAGAGACTTTATTGCGGATATTTGTCTGGTGGGAATAGGTGTGTTCATAAGAATGTAATGTACAACTGAAAATGAGAATACCACTATTACAAAGACACACATTAAAGGGACACATAAAACACCATAAGCACTATAGTTGTGTGTAGTGTTTATGGTGCTAGGAAGCTGTCCCTGAAAAACTTACTTTTTAATTCCCTTCTGTTTTGCTATTTTAAATTAAATGTGTAGCAGCCAAGTTGCAAATCTTCTCATTGACATAATATGCGTAGTCCAGATTCCCTACTGAATCATTCAAGTATTTGTACGTTATAAACACACACTGCCTACTCACATCATTCAAGCCAGCCTCTTTCACAACACAAAAGCTTTGCTATGACAAGCACGCTCACTGCATCTTTCTCTGCACATCTCAGTGTGCAGAGCTCATAGGGCACACTAGTTTTTACACAGTACTCTGTACTCTCTTATGAGTATTACATCTTATATTAATTTTGATTTATTTTTAACTTAAATGCTTACTATTTAAACTACTTCACTACTACTTAACACGTAGAACTACTTCACTACTGTGGTGCACTCTACTTACAGGGATGTTGCACAGGTGATTGTTGAAAGAGTACCCTAATATTTAAGGAAATTAGGTAAGTGTAAGGAGATTTGGTAATTTACCCATGTTTTGTGGAGGTTATGGATAACACAGGAATCCTAACACAAGAGTTAATAGTAGTTGGATGACTACTGCACAAACGAGGATTTACAGAGTGTATGTTGCCTTTTGCATATAAATAAATAATAAGACTGGCAGCATATACCTGGAGTAGGTGGAGTACCCCTGTTTAAAGGGACACTATAGTTACCAGAATAACTACGGCTTATCGCATTTGTTCTGGTGAGTATAATCGTTCCCTTCAGGCTTTTTGCAGTAAACACTGTCTTTTCAGAGATAATGCAGTGTTTACATTACAACCTAGGGTTAACTCCACTGGTCACTCCTCAGATGGCTACTAGAGGTGCTTCCTGGGGCAGTGATGCACAATGTGCATTACTGTCATTCAGTGTCTACACCATCTGCATGGAGACACTAAACTCAAGATTCAATGCATCTCTATGAAGAGATGCTGATTGGCCAGGGCTGTGTTTGGATTGTACTGGCTCAGCCCCTGATCTGCCTCCTTGACAGTCTCAGCTACTCCTATGGAAAAGCATTGTGATTCACTCAGAGAATCACTTCTGAAGCAGGCAGATCAGGGGCAGAGGCAGCAGCTGCATACTGGAATACAAGTAAGCTTTTACTGTATTTCGGTAGGCAAGTGGGAGCCTGGGGGGGGGGGGCTAGAATACATGTTTGTGTTCCTGACCCTACAGTGTTCCTTTAAGGATACAATAAATAAATAAGCAGCAGTCAACAAATGACTGAGCTGCCAAATGCCAAAATCAATTTTTAAGTGACCTTCTTTATTCAACCAAGAAATGTACCTGGTTAGGCTTTATTTAATTTGGTGTTGGAATACGGAATGCCACTTGAAAGTTAATTTTGGTGTTATGGCTCAATAATTTATTATTGGCTTTTACAAATGCTTTGTTTATGTAGTGAAACTTAATATAGCAATTGAGTTAGTGGATAATCACCGTCTAGGTTTTTATTATATTATTATTTAAGTTTGATCAGTCAACTAGCAATGTTTGAATTGCATATATTTTTCTATTAGATCCCAGTCATCCATGCAAAAATGAAGTATTTTATAAAGGCAAAAATAAAGTCCTTTAATCTGTTGAGCTCCTTTTTTCGCTACTTGTCTGTACAACATATCACTTTCTCTTCATTTATATATCCAAAATCCTTAACAAATAATGAATAAGGATTAAAAGTTATAAAAATAAGAATATATTTATTAAAAAAATTACACCCCTAATAGGTGTCAAAATTACCTTACTGCGATTCTAGAGATTAAAACATAAACCAGAAAATAAAACATAACAGAATAAAACATGTATCGAAACTAAATGATTAACATGAAATTAACAAAATTATAAAACTATTCACCACATACAGATGATGAAGCTGACAATGAACTCATGTTTCTTTGTATTTCCTTAATCTGGTGATCTATTTCTCTTAGTCGTAATTTCTGTTCTCTTAACATTTTTGTGTCATTTAAAACTTTTTCCCCAGGTGCTGGTTCCACATTTGCATTCTTGATCGTTGAAAATTCCTGTAAGACATGAAAGCAGGAGATATTTACACTCATATGCAATTCTTCTAAATGTTTTGCCTGCATAGATGGCTTGCATGAGCATATTTCTTTACTCAGTTTCCTGTAACTCTGGACAGATTTTATACATAAATAATTCTTATGTAACAGCTGTGCAGACAACATGAATTGAATATAAAGATAAACTGTAAATCAAAATCTGTTCCCAAAGATTCCAGGAAGGTTTCAACTGTCTTCAATCAATCTATCAATTCTGATAACCAAGTAGTTCCAAACTTAAAGGGGAACGCTAGGCACCACAACAACTCCAGCTAAATTAAGTAGTTATTGTGCCAGGAGGCCCACGGGTGCACTTTTACCTTAAGGGGTTATACAGTTCTCAAACGGTTTAATTTCAAAGTGAGCCTGCAGCACTGATTCTCAGGCCACCCAGATGACATCTGGCTTCTGAAGTCACAATTTTAGGAAGCTTATCGTCAGGCAAGAGTGCGTCCAGGGGCCTTCTTACACCATAAAAACTTAATTTGGATTAGGTTGTTATGGTGCCTAAACTGTCGCTTTAACTAGTGAAATACAACCAAGTGAATAATAATTTAATGAAAATTACTCCTAACAGTACTTTCTATACAATGATAAATAGTAGAATATAAATGATAGAAAGGTTGAAACATCTATAGTCGAAACAACTATTTAAATTGTATTAATTTGGTGACATAACAGCAATGGTCATGTCAACTCGTTACAGAATAATGATGTTATGGCTACACAGATTGTGTGACATTTAAGCAGAGATAAGTGTATTTTGAAGACTTCTTTAAGATCACCAGAAGAAACAGATGCGTAAAAGCTTGAATGTGATAGACTTCAGCATTTTTTCATCTTAGATAAAGTCACCAGGTAACTTTAACATACAGCATGAAAAACAATAGTAATGTAGATCACTATTTAGGGGTTACTCCAAGCACTGTGACCACTTCAGTGTTTCAAAGTGGTCATGGTGTAAGGTGTCTGTATGATATAGAGATATCTGAGTTTGCTGGCAGAGGTGTATTTCCAGTTCCTGCAGCATAATTAGCAGCCTAGGCTGAGTAATGTGAATTCTGTGCATAAAATATATCTGTAAATGCTGACAATGCTGTATAGATTGCCCATACTGTCCCCCTGCTAACCTTCCTCAATCCTTTCCTCTACCTCGCTGGCTGAGTGAGCGTGATTATTGCACATGTGTCTTAGGTTCAATAATGCTTCTCTATGAAAATTTAATTGGACTGCCATGAGAGGTAGTAATGTCATTAAGAGCAGATCGGACCTGCAGGACAACAAAGTTAACTCTTTAAGTGCTGCAGCTTAGAATAGTGCAGTATACTGCTCTACACTGCAGCAATGAAACATACAAAATAAATAAATAAAGTAAATAAGTAAGAGTCGCCTGGCCCACAAAAATACTGCAGAGGGGCCTACGTGGTCGCTACCCCATGCTTCATCACTCTGGCAACAAAGTAAAGGGTAATAATGGGGCCCAGGAGATGCACAATAATGGGTACCTCAAAATATTTGGAGAGGAATGTCTAAATAGCAGGTAGATAAGGTAGCATAAAAGACCAATACAACAGGATGCACCTAATATTAGATGCATAATGTGTTAAAATGGAAAGTTAAAAAAAGTCCAAGGGACAAGGTCTAGAATTTTCACTTTCTGCCAGGTGATCTATCTTCTTCTAGGACTTAAATATTTTGTATGTACAGTAAAGAAAGAGAGAGAAAAGAACCAATGGTGCGGTATATTGCAATAATCAGAGGACACAACAAAAATGTGTGAATGACCACTCACATATAATGGAGATTAAAACCAGCTTCAGACTCAAAAGCGTGCAGTAATATATTTCCCACTTATGGATACATATGTTTCATGCATGACTTCAGTGGTATTAAGTGATGGATATATAATAATACACAAAGGAGAGAAGAAAGTACAATAGTGTGATGGCAGATGGCACAAGATGGCAGATGGCACAAGAGGTGAGCTTATGTCACAATGGTTCAGGCAGAGGGTGGTATAATCCCCACCTTTTGGATGTTAGTTTGTCATAACCTCTTCAGCAGCATAAGTAAAATGTACACATTACTCACAAGTGAGTAAACAAAGATTTTCATCCTTTATGCATATTTTTCTATTACACCCATTTTTGCCATGACACCCATTTTTGGTCTTTTAGACCTGTTTTACCTACATTTGCCCTCTTTAAAAAAGGCCACTGCCATGTGACCCACAATCTTGGCTCTTTTTCTAGCAAAGATATAATTCACCCCAAGCCTCGTCTTACTTATTAGCCCACCTGTATAATAAGCCCATCACATAATTACTGTTATATTTGTCCAGATATACTTCACGAGGAGTTTGTTCTTTTTTCTTTCTGCTTTCCCTTTGAGGATATTTGCCATAACATTGGAGCTACAAGAAAATTGTGTGATTTAATACATTACAACGCTTATGATTTGAGCCTGTCTTTGCATGGCTCATGTCCATGTGAGTTGGACTAATTACACTATATATACTATACGCTGGTAAATGTTTCTACACTATATAGTTTTCTCTTTTCCAGGCTCCAGAAGAACTTTGTCCTCCCAGTTACGCTAGATGGTCACATCAATACCACTTACGCTCCACTTTTGAGCTTGGCGGCATTTAGGCTCCCTTCCACTGTTTTTTTTTTGCATGTTTAAGGTGGGTGAGAAGGATTCCCACTAGAGTGTAGTAGCAAATCATAAGCGTAGTAGTGTATTAAATCACACAATTTCCTTGTGTATATATATATATATATATATATATATATATCCCACAGTTATATATATCTGAAAGCGACCTTTTATCACACAGACCACTGTATATATTCACAATCTATTGAATAAGTGAGATAAAACTTACTGTTTTTGTTCCGACTTTTATTTACGGAGCCGTCTGTGCAAAATAGTCAAACCTCAAAGACATAAAACTAGATTACTAAAACCGGAGATCTTGTGTTAAGCAGTACGCGGTAAGAGCTAATAGCACGTTTGTGTCATTTTTCCAAAACACTTGTGTTCTTTACAAAATAACACTCATAAGGCTAAGATTACTGCTTTCAATATAACTTGGACAGCATGAATCAGGGTGTGCTAACTTCCTTTCAGAAAAATTACCTATAATTTGTATGCAGCTCAAACATCTCTAGTGTATGCCTGTGAAACCTAACATCTGCTTGGATTTTGCTTACACTGTTATACCATATGATTTCCTTTTGTCCCAAATTCCACAAAACAACTAGGAGTCTGATTTAAAAAAAATATGTAGGCATCTAAGCTTTTCAATTTATTCATGTGTTGGTTCTTTATAACACTCTGATGTTAGTGCTAGTGTGTCAGATCCTATTTAAAATGATGTTATGCAAAATGAGTTTTTCATCATGGTCAGAGGTCTAAGAAAGTCCCTTACTGCCTGGCCAATAACCAACAAGAAAAACATATAGAATCTAAAATGTACTTCTAGGCCACAGACTGATAATAGTGAAGTTAAGAGCAAGCAATACTTTGGTAGTATAGGACCTGCCAAGATTGGGGTACATTGGCGTTGTGGTAGGCTTATGCAATGTATGATCATATACAGTAACTAAACCCCCATTGTTATTTTTGCCCAGGATAAGGTTTTTTTTAAATAAAACTATTACATTCTGTGTACCTTGAAATTGCTGTTTAGTGAATGAGTGAGTGAGCTGGATCTTGTATATATTTTTTTTGTGTGTGTGTGTTACTAGTAAAACATTATCTAGAAGCAGATGCACCATTGAAAACCACTAATTAATACGTCTGCAAATGTATTTACTGTTATCAGCACACAAAAGCTTTCACAATACCTTATGGAAAAGATGATATCAAAATGTATATAATCACTCAGTGCTTGTCTGTTTCTTTACACAAATAAAGTATGAACTCTTGTTTACAATGAAAAAAGAATTGTACACTATACATGTCATTGTTTGAGAATATAGACCTATGATTTTCATGAATGTTCTGTAGATAATGGTTCAGAGCTGAATGGAAAAACAAACATCTCATCTCTGGCAAGGAAAATTACGCATTGACATAGAAATATCCTGCAACAGTATATAAAATAATGGTCCCTTACAATTAAAGCATGCCTTGATGAGGTATTTTCCCACAATAAAGAAAAAACATTTACTAAACAAGATGTCTGAGAAAAATATCTAGACCACAGTTTCAATCTTTCCAAACATATGCACACACTGGCTAGATTAAAAGGGGCAGTCTAGGCACCATAACTACTACGGCGCACTGTACTAGTTATGTGCCCTCCCAATATTTTGTGGGCGCTCAGTTCTGGCCACATTTTCTGATATTTCTAAAGAGGAAATTCTTCTTCTGCAATATATATATATATATATATATATATATATATACACAGTTGCAAGAAAAAGTATGTGAACCCTTTGGAATGATATGGATTTCTGCACAAATTGGTCATAAAATGTGATCTGATCATCATCTAAGTCACAACAATAGACAATCACAGTCTGCTTAAACTAATAACACACAAAGAATGAAATGTTGCCATGTATTTATTGAACACACCATGTAAATATTCACAGTGCAGGTGGAAAAAGTATGTGAACCCTTGGATTTAATAACTGGTTGAAAGTCCTTTGGCAGCAATAACTTCAACCAAACGTTTCCTGTAGTTGCAGATCAGACGTGCCCAACAGTCAGGAGTAATTCTTGACCATTCCTCTTTACAGAACTGTTTCAGTTCAGCAATATTCTTGGGATGTCTGGTGTGAATCGCTTTCTTGAGGTCAGCATCTCAATCGGGTTGAGGTCAGGACTCTGACTGGGCCACTTCAGAAGGCGTATTTTCTTCTGTTTAAGCCATTCTGTTGTTGATTTACTTCTATGCTTTGGGTCATTGTCCTGTTGCAACACCCATCTTCTGTTGAGCTTCAGCTGGTAGACAGATGGCCTTAAGTTCTCCTGCAAAATGTCTTGATAAACTTGGGAATTCATTTTTCCTTCGATGATAGCAATCCGTCCAGGCCCTGACGCAGCAAAGCAGCCCCAAACCATGATGCCCCCACCACCATACTTCACAGCTGGGATGAGGTTTTGATGTTGGTGTGCTGTGCCTTTTTTTAGCCACACATAGTGTTGTGTGTTTCTTCCAAACAACTCAACTTTGGTTTCATCTGTCCACAGAATATTTTGCCAGTACTGCTGTGGAACATCCAGGTGCTCTTGTGCAAACTGTAAACGTGCAGCAATGTTTTGTTTGGACAGCAGTGGCTTCCTCTGTGGTATCCTCCCATGAAATCCATTCTTGTTTAGTGTTTTACGTATTGTAGATTCGCTAACAGGGATGTTAGCATTTGCCAGTGACTTTTGTAAGTCTTTAGCTGACACTCTAGGATTCTTCTTCACCTCATTGAGCAGTCTGCGCTGTGCTCTTGCAGTCATCTTTACAGGACGGCCACTCCTAGGGAGAGTAGCCGCAGTGCTGAACTTTCTCATTTTATAGACAATTTGTCTTACCGTGGACAGATGAACAGCAAGGCTTTTGGATATACTTTTATAACCCTTTCCAGCTTTATGCAAGTCAACAATTCTTAATCGTAGGTCTTCTGAGAGCTCTTTTGTGTGAGGCATCATTCACATCAGGCAATGCTTCTTGTGAAAAGCAAACCCAGAACTGGTGTGTGTTTTTTATAGGGCAGGGCAGCTGTAACCAACACCTCCAATCTCATCTCATTGATTGGACTCCAGTTGGCTGACATCTCACTCCAATTAGCTCTTGGAGATGTCATTAGTCTAGGGGTTCACATACTTTTCCACCTGCACTGTGAATGTTTACATGGTGTGTTCAATAAAAACATGGCAACATTTCATTCTTTGTGTGTTATTAGTTTAAGCAGACTGTGATTGTCTATTGTTGTGACCTAGATGATGATCAGATCACATTTTATGACCAATTTGTGCAGAAATCCATATCATTTGGTCACTTGGAGTATTGTACGCAGTACTGGAGACCGTATCTTTAGAAGGATATTGATACTTTGGAGAGAAGGGCTACTAAATGGATTGAGTAGAAGAGAGAAGAGTAAAATTTACCAGGAAAGGTTAAAAGATCTTAAAATTTATAGTATGGAGGAAAGACGAGACAGGATGGATATGATAGAAACATTTAAACACATAAAGGGAATCAAACCAGTAAAGGAGGAATGTATATTTAAAAGAAGAGGGGCAAAGGTTTGAAAATAACATCAGGAAGTGTTACTTTACTGAGAGGGTAGTGGATGCATGGAATAGACTTCCAGCTGGTAAGACCACACCTTGAATATGCTGTGCAATTTTGGGCACCTGTTCTAAAGAAGGATATTATGGCACTAGAAAAAAGTGCAGAGATGAGCTACAAAATTAATAAAAGGAATGGAACATTTTAGCTATGAAGAAAGGTTAACAAATGTAAACCTCTTTAGTTCAGAAAAACTTTGTCTCACAGGGGATATAATAACGTTATACAAATACATCTGGGGCCCAATACAAACCATTGTGTGGAAATCTATTCACCAACCGGACTTTACATAGGACACAAGGTCATGCGTTTAGACTTGAAGAAAAAAAGATTTAGTCTATGGCGAAGGAAAGATTTTTTTTACTGTAAGAACAATAAGGATGTGGAATTCTCTGCCTGAAGAAGTGGTTTTATCAGAGTCTGTACAGATGCTTAAACATCAACTAGATGCATACTTGCAAAAACAGAATATTCAATTATATAATCTTTAAACTGTAGGGTAATCACTTCTTGATCCAAGGATAAATCTGACTGCCATTCTGGGGTCAAGAGGGATTTTTTTTTCCTAGTTTATTGCAAAATTGCAAGTGCTTCAAACTAGGGTCTTTCGCTTTCTTTTTGATCAACAGCAAAAAACAAATGTGAGGAAGGCTAAACTTGATGGACGCAAGTCTCTTTTCAGCCTATGTAACTATGTTGTAGAGGTTAACACAGTGAGGGAGTTTAAGCATGCATTGAATAAGGCTAGCATACATATAAAATAAGGTCAGGGATTTAGAAATTGGGCAGATTACATAGGCTGAATGGTTAGTATCTACCGTCACATTCTATGTTTCTATGCTTCACATTCTATAATCACTACAGGAGACAATATTTCTCCATGTACACCATATGTATTATTCAGGCTGGACCGAATAGCCTTAGTACAGATTAACAAAAATAATGCGGGACCATCTGGAGGCATTCAGACTATAAAATCCAGACATTGTTCTAAAATTTACAAATGTCTAGATTATGTCTACAATTGTCCAATGATAAATTAAAAATATAATTAAATTAAGTTATTTTACAAATGATTTATTTCTTAATATAATTCTGTCTTCCCCATGACTTAACAGGGGTTCCAACTGGATAAAGAATATCTTTTTTTTTTTCAGAAGAAAAGGAAAGGACTCCAAAAAAAGCAGGTTGTATCTCGTAAACACAATCTTTCTCAGTGATGAAAGAGACAGCATTCCATTCATCTACTGGACTGATCAAACTCCCACAAACGCTACTTTTCTGCCAACTCTGCAAACACGTTATCTAAGATTGCTTACATAAACTTAAATACCTGGAATCTTTTCAAATAAGGTTTAGTTTACTTAGGCCATTATTGGTCATATCCAATAGAATAGTGAAAAAGCCTCTCTGTATGCTTTCCTGTATTTCATTAAAATTGTTAGTGAGGTACAACCTGGTAAGAGACTAGAGAGGCATAGTAAGCAAGAGTCCATCGTGTTCTTTGGCTTATAGCAGTCCATATCCAGTTGTAGGACATACTTGAGCAATAGAGAAAACTCAATGTATACTTCCAGGTAAAATATTTTAAAAATACATAAATAAATATCCAGTCTGGAAAACAGATTCCCTCTGCGTGAGAGAAAGCAAACTTAAATATACATTGTATATATTTGGACTCATCCGAACAAGGGAATTCACATGAAGGCAAGCAACAGCCATTTCATTCGGTATTTTAATCCGTTTATATCCACAAACCGAGACCGACCGCAAGGCCAAACCTTATGGAACTATTTTCGGCTACTGTTACCTGTGCGGTCGGTCAAAACTGTACTCTTCCATAACTCCAGAACCCCTGGTCCGATCTGGGTGCTTTTTGAGTATGTTACTCACCCAGATCAGGGCTACCAGGGGATCCCCTATTTAGAAGTGTATGTATTTTGGGTACATCCAGGAACTAGGGAAATACTGTACATGGATTATGTGTCATGCTGAGGGGAGGAGATGTGTGGGAGGTAACATATATTTTATTGGTTACTGTAATAATTACTGTGGGTGTCTCCCTTGCATGGGAGAATTGCGTAACACCTTAAGAACCAAACTTCTGTAATAAGAGGGAATCATGACATGTCACACATGTCATGTGTCCTTAAGGGGTTAAAAGCAGGCATGTGAGATTAAACCTCAGTTCAGTTCTGCTCCTGATGCTGTGTGTCGCCCAGTCATTTGGATTGCTTTACTAATCGTGGATATTATTCTCTTGGGTTTTATTACTTGTACCTGAGCCTTATTTGGATTACCAGTGGAGATAGTCTGTGAAAGACCAGCACTCCGCTACATACATAAATAAATATTTCAACTTTCCTGTGCTGACCATCAATTTGTCTTGCAGGATTGGTGGTGATGCTACTATAGACATAAGCAGAATAGCGTCTTAGAGTTTATTGAAGAACTGGCATGCATGTCATAGGTTTACCATAATTGATGTAGGACAATATTGTCTCCTTTGTTCTTGCCAAACCATGTCCCAGACAATGGGATCTTATTATACTTAGTTGCACATGGCATCATTCTAATAGTAAAGGGTAATACGGATGGCGACCACTGGTCCAATGGTATATCTCTAGGCCATTCTGCCTATAGGATCCCCATTAATTCTGAAGGACACATAGATGGTCAGACATTCTTAGCTATATAGACCCCTCTGATTAAATTTTTTGGAAACAATGTAAGAAGTGAATAAGGAAGGAAGGAAATATTAATCATAGAGGAACTTTAAGTGCAGAATAGAACTAACTTATTTTGAGGGAAGACAAGGGTAAGTACTATTTCCAGAAAACTAGGATGGCAGACTCAAAAACATCTCTCATCCACAATATCATCATCTAAATGGCATCTCAAACAAGGTGTAGCTCACTCACCATACTACAGAGGAAACATTTCCACAAGCATATTTAACTGGTCCCATCCATGAGACGGCAAAAAAAAAAACCTCCTCTCTATGTTTTCATATCTCATTCATTTCCTTGTTACCATCATGGTAACTGCTCTCACTTAAAATATATGGTTTTATAATGCAATCAATATGAATACAGAATACGTATCAGCACACTTTAATTTATCAAGATTCTCGCTATGATCATGTGCTGCTCACTGTGTATGTACACATATTCCATATAATTCACATATATACATACATGTTCACTGGATTCGCACGGCTCTTCAACATAGTGGAACTTCAGTAGCTTAGTCTCTATTATTGAAAGATGCTTACATTCTTCGGAATCTGCTGTGAAGCCTTCTCTAGGTACTAGGTATTTGGACATATTTCCCTTCAAAAATTAAAAAAATATAGTTTTTTCCACAGTCATGTCAAAGATTATGCAGGGACAGTGTAAATAGAAAGGTTATTAAGTTCCTCTGGGATGGCTTGCCCTTTCTGAGCAAACATTGTTTAATTTCTATTCTTCTGTGTATGCTTTCTCTATGCTTAGTGCCAGGTGCAGAAGACATAGCTTATAACAATGAATAACAGAGAGCTATCATGGAGGCGACCAGATGCAGGATAAAGAGCTGTGTATTTCTATGTTTGATTTTATTTTTAAAAACTCACAAATACATATGCGTTCAGTAAAAGGATAAGTAAACATAATATAAAAAATTCATCTGTTGTATTTTAAAGTGGTCAGGAATTATACATTTTTTTTTTAATATATATATATATATATTTTTTTTTTTGTGCAGATAACAATGTATAAACACAGAAGCTTGCATTCATGCAACAGAAACCACATTTTTCACAACGTAAACATAAACCATACAACTAATTCAGGGGATAAGGCGACATTGCTAACAGATAGTATCACTTAACAAACGGCATAGTTCAGTGTCACTTGACACTAAGCTATTGGCATTGGAAAATAAAGGACAAAATATAAAAGAATGCGAGACCCATGGGGTATGCAGACGAGTATCATTACAGTATGAACATGTGGAGCTGCTGCATTAAAATAAACCATGAGGAAGATCAAACAAACTAATGGGTGTCCATTAAACTTAGAAATAAAATAGTTAACCTATTACTTCAGTTGGATACAGCTGGGCATGGTAGTAGAATCTCTGGAAAAAACAGGGAACTTTAGGGCTATGAAGGCATATAGCATGTAAGGCAGTGCTGATTTGAGCTTCTGTGAGTGCCCATTCCATCAAATATGCCAAGGAGGTGATCTGGCTTCTCACAGAAGCATGTTGCCAACTCTGGGGAATTTCAGGAACAAGCTAATTAAATTACCCTTTTGCTAAACCCATTAACCAGAGTTAACCTAAGGAAAACTGCTCCTCAACGGTTATTCTTCACTGTACTACACAATAGTCAGTAGTCTGTGTATGCAGAGTGAAAAAAAGACTCCGTACATCTTACTCGCATTAATTATTGTAGACATGTCTCTTCATTTCACATAATATTAAAATGTTTCTTGGGTAGTATTTACAATTATATTATTCCTTGACATGCATATTCATTGTAAATTCAAACGAAATCTAAGTAGATCTGCACACTCTGCTTACAAACCATATTTGTCTTTCTTAATCAATAAGATGTGTTTCAATTTCTGGAAATGTATTTGCAATACTTTTTTGGGGTAAGTGAAAGTTTACAGCATTGAGTGCTGAGTGGAAACAATTATTTGTGAATATATAATGCTAGTTCTTTTAGATTTCTGTTTTTTATTGATCCAGATATTTTAATCATAATTAGAATTAGTTGTTTTTAACAATACAGGTATTTTAAATTAATATTAATTTGATTGCAGTGTGTGCACCATTATGTAAGCAATATTACTATGTAACGTTCAATCAAACTATAGAGCTTTGGACCTAATATAGATTTAACAGAAAGAGGGCTTTGCAACTCAATAGTAATTTGCAGCATAAAAGGGGGCATATACAAGTATGACAGAAGATGGTTGCACAAGACACTTCACACTTTGCAAAAGTAGATTTCCTGCCTTATTGTGGGAGTCATTATTTAAAGGATAACTGTCATCAAACTTTCACTTCTGATTTTGTACATTTATTACATTTAATGAAACTTAAAGGAAAACTCCTCTGCACATACTAGAAAGAAAAATTAGAAATCACTGTTTCATGCATGTATTCATTGGGGGTATATCCTGAAACAGTTTCCTTATGAACTACAGCCATTGTAAGCCCTCCCCTTTTTCCCTGAAGGAGACTATGTCTCTTCACGGGGGAAATAATAAATCTAAGGCTTCTTATTGAGAAGCCTCTGAAGGGCTCCTTCCGTGCACTTGCGTGCGCATGAGCAGCATACTAATCCGAGGTCTGGATACTCGTGTAAGGCCTGAGGTGTGCAGGGGAGGGGCAGGCACGAGCAAGTAGACCACGTCTGCCACATCCATTGGCTCAGGGGTGCTAACGGAAGCAGGAAGAACTCTCACTGGATGCTGAAGGAGTATTTCATTCATTATTTATAACAGTGCCAATTTCTATTACAAATCAGCCATTTTATCAACTCTCATTATTATGGGATGCTCCTCAGCCATGAAGCACTTCAGCAAGCTGAAGTGCTTTATGGGTTTGGAGTGGTCTTTTAATGATTTTTTTTCAATGATGTATATTGTTTTTTTTTTTGAGAATGTCTGGACAAGTTCTTCTGTTATCTGATCAACTGCTTCTCATTCTAACTTGCCTCCTGCTGCAGTTTCACACAGGGAAACTGCACCAGCGGCCAAGTTCGATTGAGCAGCAACTAGTGCCTGGACAGATGTGCATATTATTTAAATTAAAAAAAATTTAAAAAGCTTTGTTTTTATTATTTTTTTCTTGTTAAATTGCAAAACACAGCTATCATTTAGATTAGAAGCTTACATGTAACAGTTCTGCATTATGTAAAACTATAAGAAAAATTCTTTATAATACTTACTTTAGTGTCTTCCTCGTCGCAGTCAATGTCAATATCTGCAAGAAGTTGCTCCAAACGTAACTGCTCGTCTTCCATAAGAAGTAAGCTGGACCCAGCTTCCTTTGCAAGCTTTGAACAAATGACATTAATGAACAATGACATTAATATTTCCAATAGACCAAGTACGGGCTAAAGGTTCCATTCTGAGATAGGTATTCTTTCATTTTTAGATATTAAACATTTTCTACCTTGTTTATATAAAAAAAACAGACATATGAGGGATGAAATTGTGTAAGTCATAAAATGTATTAAAAATAATTTGTAGCTGCTGAGGGTGCTAGGAGAAAGTAAATTATAATTTCATTATTTATTCTGTTTTTTTAAATGTGCAGCTAATTTAATTTTTATTATTAGTATTATGGCTATTTTGTGTGTATCTTGAATTCACAAACATGCGTGCAAAGGGACAAAAGCATGTCTTAGGGCAAGAAGGGCAAAGGGTTTCGAAAAATGACACTAAAAAAGACCAAAAGGTGGAACAAGTCATTAATAACTGAGAAAAACTGCAGAATATGAATTATATGTACTGCATGGCAATACGACCAGGAAAATGTGGTGGGTCTGGCAACCCTAATCAAACCACCAAGTTGGAAAAAATTAAAAGGTAAAATGCAGCTGTGCAGACATGTAACCACTTTCTGTCAGAGTGTGGTGCACATGTGCATCCAACTCGTACATGTTCTTCATGCGTAAAATGCCATTAGTGGCTTAACTACCACGGTCGCAGAGGTCGCAGCTGCGACCGAGCCCATTACTCCAGGGCACCTGGCTGCAGCTGCGATCCTTGCGACCATGGGCCACCACAACTTCAGGGTCTGTGCACAGCAGCACCGGCACCTCGGTCCGTTGTTGTCTGGTTAACGGCAGGAGGGGAGCGCCATGCTGTGTTGCTCCCCTCCTGTCACTCTCTTTGAGTAGCGTGACTGAGCGATTCGCAGTTTTACATGAAGTGCTCACTGAGAGAGCACTTCCTGTCAGCTTGGGTAGTGCTCGGCAAAGCTACACAAAGCCAGAAGGTACAAGAGGGAAGAGGCTAGAGGGAATGAGACAAATGGAGGGGCTGGGGGTGAGAGAGGGAATGAGGCAAATACAGGGGTGTGAGAGAAGGAATGAGACAAATGGAGGGGCTAGAGGGTATGAGAGGGACAGAGACAAAGAGGGGGCTCGGGGGTGAGAGAGAGGAATGAGATAAATGGAGAGGCTGTGGAGGGAGGGAATGAGACACATGAAGGAGCTATGGGGAGGGTATGAGACACATGGAAGGGCTGGGGGAATGAGACACATTGAGGGGCTGGGGGGAATGAGACACATGGAGGCTGGGGAATGAGACACATGGAGGGGCTGGGGGGAATGAGACACATGGAGGGACTGGGAAGGAGGGAATAAGACACATGGGGGGAGGGGAGGGGAGGGCAGGGCACCGGAGCTCGGTGGTTTCTAGTTACACATCTGAATGTCTTCATTATAAATGGTACCTTCTGACTTGTGTGTGTAACTTCATAGTTTTCATTTTAAAAAACAAAGATTCCTCTTTCACTACAGTGAACATTGGGGGGAATTAAAATTAGGCAAAAATTGCTAAATTGGAAGTATAGCTGACCTGACAAATTCACTTTAAATTCTCAACAATTTTCACTCTAGTGAATAACTCTGAAAGAGATTATGTGGGATAAATAATGTAATGGGTCTCTGTCAGCTATATGCAGGCTTCGGGTGCCATACTTAAGCACATGCAAGACCTGTATGACTGGACTCTACTAACAGTAGACATGTTGTATACTTGCAAAGTAAAACTGTTGTGCAGCGTTAGTGCAATTTATTTATATACCATGCATTTTCCACAATTTCAAGATAGACAGTGTGACAGAACACCTGGCACCTCGACTGGGTACCTCTGCCAATCGATACTTCTTAGCTGACGCTGAGGACCATAAGCATTGCACCGTACACTACAAGCACCGCAAACTCCACAACCGCCGTAGCTTAGCTGGGATCTCGCCGTCTTCCTTCCACCCTGGACCAATCTCTGATAGCCAGGACCGTATGGGAAAGACCTCTCCTCCAGGAGAGTATAGCTGTATAGCTCTTATAAGAGCTAGTGAAATAGCAGTATAGCAGTTCCCCTCCAATCACGAGAAAAAGCTACGTGTTGAGGGTTAATGGTGCCACAGCTGGCCTTATTTGCAAGTCCCCATGCAAGGGAACACCCACCTGGACCTTGTGGGGAACAGGATGACAATTGTTACAAGCCAATGATAATGCAGTACAGTAGGTGACACTCCCACACATTACACACAATTCCTCCCCTCAGCCTGGGAGATAATTGAGTCAAGCTCTGTATGTAACTCAATTAACTCCAGGCAGAAAAACACACATTTTTATATAGTATGAAAAGTACCCCAAAGCACAACATATCCCCATAAATGTTACATCCCCTGATAGCCCTGATCTGGGTGAACAACATATCCAAACATCACCCAGATCAGAGCAGGGGTTCAGGAAATTCCTGGAAGTCTCTTTTTGACCGACCGCACGCATGGTTTCATGCCCAAAACAGTTCCAGAGAATCAGGCTGTGCGGCCGTTCTATTTTAAATAGTTGAAATACCGTTCGAATTACCGAAAGTAGCCGTTCGACTCCCGTTTGAATAGCCGAAGTTCAATGGAAGGTAACTGTTCAGTGGTGTTCATGTCGTCGCGTGTCCAATTTGAGTTCCATGAACCTGACGACAAAACACAGCTGAACACGTTCGACTAAACAAGATAGCCGCCACGTGTTTGACTATAGGAACGGCGACCACCCAGCCGTTCGTCAATTTGGCTGCGGTTAACTACCAGTCTGGGAGGTAAATAGGCTGCACACTCCACTTGCGTGTGGTCCGGCAGTTCGGTGTTTCGAAGTGGCACTGCGAACCAGTTCGAAAGTTCGAAGAATTATTGTCCAAAGTCATAATAGGTACAAATAGGGTTTTTAACCATAATAAATGAAAGGGGCCATAGTCACAGGGTAAAATGCTGGCAAGTAGATCCCTCCAAACCCCAGTGGCGAAGTGGCTTTCGCCACAGACAGGTATACTGAAACATGTAAATGATAGATAATTGTGGTATTTAATAATATCTTTTTTATTGCGCTGTCTATAGTTTGGAATTATAAACTTACAAGTTTATAATTCCGTCCTTTATCAAGTTTAAATCATTTTTACTAATATTTATAACTATGTCTGTCTATACATACTGCTAAGCTTTGTATACTTTTTCATTTAAAATGTGATCTGTGATTATAATAACCAGTTCAAGACTTAAGTCTAAGTAACCCTCAGTTTATGTTCAATCTGTGTTGCAAGGGGAAAGGGGAACTCTCGAAGAATCAAGGTTTTAACCTCTAGAATGTTAGCTCGTTTGAGCAGGGTCCTCAACCCTCTCTCTTCCCATGTGTCCTACTCATCTGGTTACAAATACATGTCTGTTAGTCCACGCATTGTACAGGACTGTAGAATTTGTCAGTGTATAACAAATAATAATAATAGCAGGTCCCTGAAATAAGGCTCCCGTGACAGAGCGGTGCTATAGCCTGAAATTGGTCAACCTTCCAATGTAATACATATCACAGAATATGACATTAATCAAAAATGTCAGCAGTCATATCAACATACATGTAGCATACGGGTACTGCCGGTCTCAGTTACTTTGGTTTATGCTGCAAGGTTCCTGCAGTGTGCTTGGAGGGAGAGACTTCCTTCACTCCAACCATCAGTATACACTGGCAGAATGCATCTGATGGGCAAATTCAGACACAGTCCCAGTTATATAAAAAAAATGTGGGTCTACATCTTGCTACAGCGAACCATCATATTCTGGCTGAATACATCATAGCAGGGGAACTGGTGATGTAGACATGATTTATTCTATATGGCAAAACCTGATCAAGGTTCTCACTTACCACCAGTATGGCCCTTCAGGCTGGTTGGCTCATTATGGCACTATAGTCCACCAAGAACATATTATATTTGGGACTGCCACCCTTCAATATTCAGTGTTTATCAGTTGAAAGAGCAGTTTAGCCGTCTAACAGCCAGGAGGTTATACTTTGTCTCCATCTGGTGGTTATTTTTATTATTACATGGATAAAACAATAGCACCAATTGAAATATGATTTACATCTAGCCCTCTAGTCTTATGTTACTGTACAAGTATTGTTCCATTGTCTGTATGGTTATAGTACAATATACATGCATACATCATGGACACATCTTCCTTGAAGTACATGTATATATCACATGCACATATTTTTAATGATCTGTATACAGTACACATTCATACTCCCTGATCTGCACATATACATAATTATTTTTGTCCACTTCAGACATGCCAAATGCTTATTATTTTATGTGAAAGCTAATTTATTAATTGGCCAATATTTGGGGGATGGGCATGTTCCATAAATACTTACCATCACCTCCCATCGAAGACATCCAACTGGCCACTCACTACTGCTATGTTTTATGGCTTTGTATGCTTTTCTTTCTTACTTCTCTTATACTACTATACTTATTTCATACTCAGTTTTCTCATTTCTTCTATTTGCTATTTTCTTCTTTCCAAGTAATTTTATATTACCATTTAGATATGTCACCTGCAAGTCCAATCCTATATGGCAAAGTCACCCAGGGGTATGCACTAATGTCCAAATGGGGCAAAGCCTACATACAAGGTCCATTCAGACTGCAAAATACAGACTTGGTGTGGATTTCAGCTGGACCAAGCTCTGCTGCACAGCTGAAATTCGTGATGAATAGAATCAGAACTATTTGCTCACTGGCATGCCAGCAGCCAATGGGCAAATAATATAATCGATCATCCCATGTATTCCCTATTAAGGGTTAATAAGTATATAGGGGTGTATATAAAAAATACCTCTTTCAGTCTTATTAGAGATATATTTGCCAGAAGCTCAAGGAAACAAGGTGAAGGGTCAGAGTAGGACCCGTCTAGGGGGGTCTGCCTTGACGTTGGCAGGCGGGCATTCCCTCCAGTGGCCATTGGAGTAACTAAATGACCTCCATTTGTTTAAATATACATAGGGATTAAGGAGAGAGCGCAGGTAACTTTTTTACTATATGTATTGGAGCTGATGTGTACTGTGGTCGTTGCTGCTGCCCAGGAGTGATGGGAGTGAGCGCAGGACTTTTCTTTTTGTATTTGAAATAATAAAACTTGCCTAGCTGCCACATACATTTAAAAAATAAACTATAGGTTTGAATAAGACCCCAATATTACTATAAGGGAGGTTTAAACCCTCCCTATGCCTCACCTGTTGGCATATCTGCTAAAATAATTTAAACTAGTGACTGGGCTGCATGCCCTTACCTGTGGGAATTGGCTGGAGGAATTTAAAATAAATAGTGGGGGTGGACAGAGCAGATAATTTGGCCTCAAAAATGGCCAAATAATATCTAAAATTCCCAACACCACTAATAATGTTTTTTTTTTATTATTATTATAATAGCCCCCATCTGCAGAATAAAAGGTTTCATAACTACCAACAGGCAGAGTTCACCTGTTCCCCTATAGCTGTCATTTACTTGACTTTGTATATAAGAAATTTAAATTCTGCATCTGAATCAAAGGACCCAGAGCCATTACATTACATTCAGCTCTGTGTTTTACTCCTGGATATAATCCTTCTGTGTTTTATCTTAAATTGCTTAATGTAATTTGTTTGTTATGAATACTGCTATTGACCACTAGCCATTGACGAGTAAAAATGTATCGATGGTGAGTAGAAATTCCCCCCTGGAGAGTATGCTATGGTTTGCAGTGGTGAGTAACTTTTAAAGCCTGGCATAGGACTGCACATTTTAAGCCCTTCTGCTATTATACAGGTTTCCAGTTTTATTTATTTTTTCTATTATGATTTCTTTAAATAAACTGCACTGTTATGTTCAACATAGATTCTATTGTGTAGAATTATCCTACGCACAAAAATTCTTTTCTGACCTCTTGTTACAAGGTGTGACAACCTCCATGCTGGCTGTATCTGAGATCTGGCTCTGGTAGTACAGCAGGTGGACTGTCACTGCTGATACGGAGTCTACTGACTGACTTAGTAGACCTACTAGACCTAAGCGTAATAGATTGGTGTCTGAGTTAGGGTGTAAGGATACATACCCTTCACTACACCACTTACATGGTGCTGCTACCTCCCCAAGTAGGCACTACATCAATTTTAATCCCTGAGACACCTCTGCCAGTGTTACTGAAACCAAACACTGTAGCTCTGCCACACCCACATCATGACATCATCAACACAAAATCACGCAATTGTTGACCCACACTCAAGTTTTGGGGGGAGTGGCTATCAAGGAAACACCCCAGGCATATAAGTACTTGAGCTTTACAACTCTTCAGTGCCATGTTGTGGTTTCCTTGTGATGCCAATTGTACATTCCTTACTCTGATATTCTGGTTTCCCGACTTGGCTTGTCCGACTGCTCTGTTATCCATATTCTTCGACCTGGCTTTGCTTCTCGTTCTCATTGTGTACCACTGGAATCCCTGACCTTGCTTTGTTTCTTGCCTTTACTATTTTGCCTACTATAGGCACTGCATTAAGCCCGGCCACTCTAATGTCTAGCAATATACTGATATCCTTTGTTTCTCTCCTTGGATATTATAGGTTTAGGCACTGCGTGTAGGGTTGTTATTCTTACCTTGATATGGAGTTTCGGTAGTAAGACAGAGAAGGTAGCCGCTAGGAGAAATGGAATGACAGACAAATCCTGTCTGACTGTCTGTAAGGGCTATTTTTGCAAATGAAAAAGTGGACATTGTGGGAGTAGGAATGAAGCAAGGTATATGTGTAGTCTACTGACTCACTCAGGCACACGTTACATAGTCAAATTTACAATTACCATTGCCTTTGGTCCTTGGACCAATGTTGGACCTCTCAGTCCACCTACATTTTGCATAAAAGTCACTAACTTTATAATTTACCTTTTACACCTACCTCTATATTTTTTTGAATAAAATTTGTTCCCTTCTTATGGCTGTGAGTTTTCTTTTCATTTGTTTCATGACTTGTTTCAATGGTAAATGTGTCACTTGCTTTGATGTCAGACACTTCATCTAAATAAAGAAACACAAATGAGCCAAGACCTCTGAGCAAAGATAATTTAGTTACAAATATATTATATTAAAAAAGTGAGAGTAAAAACTAGATTAGATTATAATGAATGCTAATTCCAAACCACCAACACACTTAAAGCCAATGACAGAAAACTACAAAATATCTTATTAAAATTGAAATATAATTCAAATTCAATACTCATTTACTATCCTTAATATCAGCCAGGTTTATACTATTTCAAGTAAATCATATTATCAATGACTATCCTCAGTACTGTCAGAAGCAACCCCAATAGAGGATTTACCACATTTAATGCTGCATGAATTCTAGAGCGACAATATTCTCCTTTAAATATATGGAACACACTTTATTCATCAATTTTCTTCTCATATTATAAACTGACCTCCTTTCTTAAGTCCCAAAGGATTCTTATTTATTTCTGCTTTTAAACTTACATCCTCAAAATAAACGAAGAAAAGATGTTGCTAACGGTTACACATAAAGTGTTTAGCTTGAAAGCAATGAGATAATTTTATTCAACAATGTGAGAATTATCAAAATAAATAGCACATAACGTACTAACTAATAGCAATAACTTACAGCCTGAACATTAGCAAATCTACTTCCATATAGAAATCAATTATAAAGTCAACTATAGGTGGTAGCCAACAGGTGGGTACTACGGGCCATATTTTGTGGGCATGTGCAAAAATGAAAGTTTGGCAACAGGTCCAAACACTGATAAAATGCTATTAATCATTGCTTTCAGAATCATTTGACAGATGTTTCAATAGCTTTCACGAAGATATACACATCTTGCTAACCATTAAAATCAAATATACATTTCTTCTCGTTTCAAAAGCAAACTGATTAGTACATTGAGAGGTTTAAAATGATTTTTTTTACAAAGTGCGGTGAAACTAAAAGTCTTGAATTCTGAAAAAATGTTAAAGAAATAGTGCCTTTGATAAGGAAAAGTTTATCAAGCGTGTTTTTTGAAGTCATTTAGGCAATACTGACTATATCATTTTGTGATTATGTTTGCGTTTAGTGTTGTAAAATATACAATCGTTCAGGTTACTTTTCTGAAAAAAAAATGGATCAGGTTACTTTTTTAGAAATGGATCATGTACAAGTCCATCAATCTACCTTGTATGGTCTCTTCAAAATCATCAAAATCTTCACTAGGAATTTGAGTTGAAAACACAGATTCAAATGCTTCCTCCATCTGGTGGCTGACTGCGTCTGCTGATAAAATATAAAACAAAGGATGAACCGATTGTTATGAAGACATCAACTTGGCACTAAGAATCTGAATAACACGTGGCATATTTACTATTATTAACTGACAGTAACAATTTCTATGGTAATGGGATTACAGATCCTACTGTAAATTGCTTTTAAATAAAACCGTGGTGATACCAATATTATTCTTTATAACTATATACAATAGTACAAAAGATATGAACCGAGCTAAAATATATATATGTATATGTAATTTACATTCATCCAATATTTTATGCAGCATTCCTATGAAATATACAGTGTCCATTACAAAAGGTCAAACAGTCAAAGAGGTGCAACCTAAAACATGAACTTGGGTCAAGCGACGCTGTAGCAGAGCCACATGCGTACAGCACAGCATCCTTCATAAAGATGTAATTATTATGTCACTACTCATGTTATATGGTGCGCACAAGATTTGGGTGACTTGTGCTAAATAAGGGATTTTTGTCACCAGCAAGACAATGTGGACTGCAACCACCAACATATTGGGACTTACATTCCCCGGTATCATCAGTATCCACTAGTTTTAAAAGGCTCACATTTGTTTATCCTTAATATAAAATATATGAAGTCCCCTACCCGCAACTCTTGCATCTGTTCCTGCCAAAGTCTGAGAGTACAGAATATTTTAACTGAAACTCACAAAGCACTTGACATTAAAATCTACTCACACTCAATATTCTCTATCAGCCACTTTCCAGTATTATGGTAATATTACGTCTACAAGATGAATCTTAAATGGGAATTTATTTATCACTTAACTAATTCAGATACATCAATTATAACTCACCAGATATGTCAAGCTAAATGGATTGTAAACTACACACCCATTAGAAGGACAACAATACAACAACTATCATCTAATGTTCTGCTAACTGGTTCTCACGACAAAGAACGTGGTTCAGAAAGAACTGTCTCAAAAGACCCTTTAAGCAGGAATTTAAATAGAAAGATAAACTAAACGTAGGTTCAAAAAAGAGGTCAAATGCCACAGTCCTACTTAGCAACAGATATTTATGTTGCAAATACTAGACTATTCACTATCAACTGTATGGTTATACTGGGAAAACTACAGCTTGAGGCATCTTTATTGTTTTCTTAATGTGTTTGTTTGAGTATATCAGAAAGGACCATGTATGCTTGAAGAAGGTCATTTGTTGAGTCAAACCGTTGTTTGCTATATCCTCAAATAATGGGATCTTATTCATCAAATTGTAAAGGCCTCTTCAAACAGCAAATAATTAACCTATTGATAACAAGGAGGTATTCCTCCTTCTGTCTGCCAAAAACATAATTTAGAGCATCTTGTAAAATATGTGCTCTAAATAATTTCTTTGATTTCTTTAAATCACTTTATCAACTCTTCATTAAAAATGTCTAAATAACATAGATTATTTTTCCCCCCACATTCAAATATAAAAACAAATTCTAATAAAAGATTTAGTTGAGCATTCCGTTTTCTCAACATCAAGGGCATTATTCACTAAACTCTGATTTGTAGTGAATTGAAAACATAAATGGCAAAATTAACACAATAATATCTGATTTCTGACTATTGCTGTGTTGAAAGATTTTTCCAAAGCAACTTTTCCGCCATTCGGATTTCAATTTGCAACATTTCTAAATTTACTGAATAAACCCACAAATGTTGTTTTGTCTATTAATTGTGTGCAGACAACTGACAAGGAAATGACAATAAAAACTGCATGTGAAAAGTGTAACATGCATGTATAAATACTAAAACTACATCCTGCATCCTGCCAAAAAAACACAAATAAAGATACAGTTGCAAGAAAAAGTATGTGATTGGACTCCAGTTGGCTGACATCTCACTCCAATCAGCTCTTGGAGATGTCATTAGTCTAGGGGTTCACATACCTTTTCCACCTGCACTGTGAATGTTTACATGGTGTGTTCAATAAAAACATGGCAACATTTCATTCTTTGTGTGTTATTAGTTTAAGCAGACTGTGATTGTCTATTGTTGTGACTTAGATGATGATCAGATCACATTTTATGATCAATTTGTGCAGAAATCCATATCATTCCAAAGGGTTCACATACTTTTTCTTGCAACTGTAATTATTATAACAGGAGTTATATATATATATATATATATATATATATATATATATATATATATAATTTGGAAATGTCACTTATTTACTTTTTTGCCCAGCCCAATATCTTTTAAAAGTAATTTATGAGGGTTTTTTTTTTTAATTATTAGGTTTTTTTTTTGTCTTTTTTTAATCTACATTATATAAATGGTTGTCCTGGCAGAACAAGAGCATATAGCTATAAGTCCTACAGAGGTGTTCAATACTTACATCTCCTGCGATCCTCTCCCCACTAAATACGTCACTAGTGTTTAGTGGGGTAAAAAAGCAATTTTTAGAGAAAAAGCAGTTTTACATGTCATGTAAAAAAAAACAAAAAAACTTTAATTAGTATAGCTCTAAAATCTGTGGCGTACTCACTAGAAGCAAGCCAAGCTAAACACGAATAAATTATTCAGAACGTGGATGCATTTTCAGCCAACTCAATCATAGGCACTGAAAAACTTTGCAGAGATATCTTTAGTTCAATTTCATATATTTCTGTGGAGTATGCAAGATGGAAACTGGATTTTGAAATATCAGATTATAGCAGAAAGTACTCCAAAAGACCATATCTTTGAGTTAGTTTAGTGTATTTTGCATCCAATGCAATAGAGCCAATGGCACCTAAGCAGCCAAGATAAATTGAGCTTCAACGGTCTGGGTAAGTGTTGATGATTCCCAAAACATTCATACATTTTATATCAACTCGACTTTTACTGAATAAACTAAACTCTGTGTATTGTCTTTCAAAAACTCAGCAGTTTTAATGGCAGAAAAAGAGGGAAAGAGAAAAAGAAAAGAGGTAGAGTGTAATTGATGTCATAGATGCCACAGAACGGATCCCAAAACAAGTAGGTTGAAACATTTTGTAGTGGTACAAAGTGGAGTGTTTAATGTTTAAGGAGTTATATCGTAAGTAATTATTACCATGATCAGCTACAACATTAAAACCACCTGCCTAATATCATGTAGGTTTTCTTTGTGTTGCCAAACCAGCTCTGATGCGTCAAGGCATGGACTCCCAAGACCACTGAACATGTCCTGTGGTATCTGATACAAAGACATTAATAGCAGAACCTTCAAGTCCTGCAAAGTATTGCTGCAATGGATGTGATTTGTTGTTTCAGCACATCCCACAGATGCTCAATTGAGATCTGGGGTATTTGAAGCCCAATGTAACACATTTGCGTTCCAAATTGACTAAACTGGAAGTAGACGCCAAGCGGGATATTTAAAAGGAAGGAAGACCGAGAAGACACACAGCCAACTGAGGAAGCCCGTTTGAAAGGGCGAAACGCGTTTTGGACTGTAATTGGACGATTCAGTCACCCAGCGACACTAAACCTGGTATTTATTTATATTTTATATTCTTTACTTATATTTTATTTTATGTTTTCAAATGGATTACCAATAAAGCATCTCCTTTTCGAAAACTCACCTGTGGTATCTTGTATACATGCACCTGATATCTGGAATATTGGTTAATACTTACGATCCTGAGGAGTAAAGCAGCTCAGACTCCAAGGAAGGAGACCAAAGAGGGGACTGGACATCCTTAAAATGTCCACAGGCGTTTACCATCCGAGTCATATCGGATTTATGACTCCTGACTTGTAAATGATATTCCATATGTTCATATTATAGATTATTTGTATTACAACAATATTGCACTATTGTCTTGTACTCATAGGATTACAGATATATACTGAACGCCCATGTAAGATGCTCCACCTTATGTATGTATGTTTCTTTTGTATTCTATAGAAGTGGTTTAGGGGATACCACTTAAGGTGTTTTTTGAGCTTCACTCACACTTACTGACTCCATATTGTGCACCTATTTGTCAATGTAACACATTGAACTGTTTATCACGTTCCTCAAACCTCAGTCTTTGCAATGTGGCAGGGTGACTTATCCTGTTGAAAGATGCCACTGCCATCAGGGAACATCATTACCATGAAGGGGTTAATTGGTCTGCAACAATCTTTAGGTAGGCGGTACGTGTCAAAATTACATCCACATGAATGCCAGGACCCAAGGTTTCCCAGCAGAACATTGCCCAGTGCATAAAACTGCCTCTGCCGGCCTGCCTTCTTCCCATAGTGCATCCTGCTGCCATCTCTTCCCCAGGTAAACAACGCACACGGCCATCCACTTGATTTAAAAGAAAACATGATTCATCAGACCAGGCAAACTCCTTCCATTGGTCTTGACGCTCATGTCCCCATTGATAGCGCATTCAGTGGTGGACAGGAGTCATCATTGGCACTCTGACCAGTCTGCAGCTATGCAGTCCCATAAGTAATAAACTGCTTCCTTCTACTACTTTTGATATGCACTAACCACTGCATACCGGGAACACCCCACAAGACTTGCCATTTTAGAGATACCCTGACCCAGTCGTCTAGCGATCACTATATGGCCCTAGTCAAAGTCACTCAGATCTTTTCACTTGCCAATTTTTCCTGCTTCCAACATGTAAAAGTCAAGACTGAGTGTGAATGAGATCAGAAATTTAACGGGCTGTGAAAAAATTTAATGAAGAACGGTACCTCCTGGTTGCTTTCACCTCTAGCCCCTGTATCTTGATCAGGAGTACAAATCAAAATGCAGAATACAAGAAAAAATAAGAGCAACGCTACTAGGATATGCTGTGTGCACAAAGTGCTTCAATAGTGATTTATTGGAAGGACATGCAAAGTGTTGGGGTTTTTTTTGTCACATGGAACATAGAAAATGTGAATTTGATAAACTAAGGCTTTTCCCTGCAATATCCATCAGTATGACCTGCCTGGCATATGTGAGCATTCACAGAGATCTGCAGTCCATTGGCAAATGTCCCAGTGGAGCAGTCTAGGCCTGGAGAGCATTTTGATTGCCACCAGTTCATAAATGAACCAACAGAATGCTGGGCTAGCAACGGCCTGGAGAATTCCTGCTGAAGAGATGTGTGAGGCTGCAGCAGCCCATATCCCACTTGCCAGCCCTCCTATTCTAGTAGCCCATAACCACCTGCTTTAGTGCCACATGCTACTGTGTATCACCATACTATTTAGGTACAATGTTTAGCTACATATGTTTTAGACTCACATATTAGTGTACACTGTTAGGATGATTGGCAAAATTCTAAATTGTAAATCACAACTGTTTCTTGACCTCTCCCACTCCTCCCCCCATGCTTGCCACTCCTAGCTGTAAATACCTTGATATAACTGTTTATCTCTACTCCCTCCCTAGGCCCATTTTCCATACCATCCCTACTGCAAGCCCCTACAATTCTACTCGGCTCAGCCCACCCACCCGTACCTCCTCCCGCCCACCCAGGTTCCCCCTAAATTTATAGCATGCTCCTCCAGCTGTTTAAAATTCTCACTCACTTACCTCTTCATTCCCTCTATATTCTACCAATAGCTGCAACTCTCTGTTTCCTTATTTAGCCATCACTTCCAAAATTCCCCTGCTACCTCGTCTCAAATCCCCACAGTATCCTGTAGATTGTAAGCTATCTACCTATGCACTTTGTATAAAAGAGCTTAAATGGCAAGATTTCAGCTTACGGGCAGGGCCCTCTTTACCTTTTGTCTGTATATATTGTATGTTCTCCACTAATTGTGCAGCGCTGCGCTTTATAAATACCAGTAATAAATAAGAAAAAATAAACAAGAGAATCACAGAGACACAACATACAGACTCTCCTTAAACAGACACAAGAGGATTACAATGCTCACATTCACCGGACAAACGGTAACCATCCAGACAACAGATACCACGCTGTAATTTCTTAAATCGTTTTCCTGGCACTGCAGGTCCCCTCTCCTTCCCACCCCCCATCCCATGTTGTTGAAGGGGTGAAAACCCACTCAGTGACTTACCTGAGACCACCGGCGATGTCCCTCGGCGGTGGTTTAGGGACGTCAGCCGGCAGGGGAGACCGATTGTGCATGTGTGGCCGCCGGCGGAAGGAGACCTAATGCGCATGCGCGGCAATGCTGCACACGCGCATTAGACCTCCCCATAGGAAAGCATTGAAAATGCTTTCAATGCTTTCCTATGGGGATTTTAGCGACGCTGAAGGTCCTCACATAGCATGAGGACGTCCAGCGACGCTTTAGCACAGAAAACCTGTGCTAGAAACCAGGAAGAAACCAGGAAGTGCCCTCTAGTGGCTGTCTAGTAGACAGCCACTAGAGGAGGAGTTAACCCTGCAAGGTAATTATTGCAGTTTATAAAAACTGCAATAATTACACTTGCAGGGTTAAGGGTAGTGGGAGTTGCCACCCAGACCACTCCAATAGGCAGAAGTGGTATGGGTGCCTGGAGTGTCCCTTTAAAACAGACCCTGACAATTTTCTCTAGTTATGCTGAAAATACAAATTTTTTTTTTAGACCACAAATGAACTTCCCTTGTATACTCCATATTCCCTCTCCATACAGATACTGCGTCATAACTTACTATTACATACCTTACTTAATATTCACTCTACATACAATCCAAAAAATGTCGCCATAGGAATGCCTGAATTCCAGCCTTATACTAAATTAAATCAAAATGGTGAGCTCACGCCCAGGCAGAAAAAAAAAATTAATGCAAAAAAGTAGATAAACTCATCCATTACGGTGTTAAATCTTAAAGTATTTCCAAGTCCTGGTGAACTTTTAGGTTTTATTCTACAGTAGTAGAATGAAGTGCATGTATCCTCTTCATATAACCATTTATCTTCATCCATTTTCTAGCACCCACTGCATCCTCCCATTCTCAATGTGTTTTACATGTGTTAAATTTTGCCTTGCTTCCTTTCTAAATTACCAGAGATAAAGAAAATATTAAATTCCTATCTTATCATCAAAGAGCTGGATTAATAGTGCATGGGACAAATTATTTCCATATCCCTAATATTCATAAATTGTAACCTTAGTTTAAAGCTGTCATAATTAATTTCAGCTGCCATACTTCTGCAATCTGTGGAAAAAAAATATATTAAAGGGACCCTCTAGAGACACCATAACCAATAAGTTTTGCATTAGCATTTTATGTGTTCATATTAAAATTAGTGATCTCGCACCCAAATCCTACACAAAGTATATAATTCGGAAGATACACAAAGTACCTAAAGTTATAAAATTTTGATTTAAATTAATACAGCAGGGGTCACATCATTCAGTAACTTTTATGCAAGCAAACAATAATTTTAAGTACTATATGCCAACTTGTAGCACTAGCGGGTCAACGGTTAAGAATCCTTAAAGGCACATGGGTTAAATATGTAGCGGCTGGCCAGCACTTTCCCTCACTGAAAAAGTAATAAATACATTTTTTTTTTTTTTTTAAACTTTGATATTTGTCATGGAGTACCGGGAGTAAGGGGCGCATCATGCCTACTCACAAGTCCGTCAATCTCCTCTCTGGCAGAGGCTCTACGTAGGGAACCATGCAGCGTATTGCATAGAATTCCCCATGGCGTCCTGACGGATCCTCCTCCATGCATTCGAGTACTCAGGGACTTGCCCCAGACCTCGGGGGGAATAGTGGGTGTAAAGAACCTGTACCTCAAAAACACTATAATCAATGACAGAAACTATATCCCTACTTCTAGCCCCACTCAACTATGTGTACCCCAAATCAGCGACACCTTTCTCATGCCCCACTGCCCATTCCAGAGAGCTAGAGTAAGCTAGCATCACCATCTAGAGCTACTGGCGTTACCTCTGGAACTCCAGGTCGGCTACAATCAACACCCCACCCCGGTCATAATTGCCTTTTGTTTTCGACCCCTTCCCAACAAGCTAAAAGGGTGCTTTTAGAAGGGAAGCTACCATCCACCAGGGAGACCAAATCGCTCCCTATGAGCAGCAGGGATCTCCGATGCCTTGCAGCAGCTAGAGCTCCCATTAAATGACCAGCATATGGCCACAAACACATGGAACTATTTTCAGTCTGAACTGTCGTAGCGGCCGGATAGAACTTTAACCCAATTGCGTTTGGAGAATACATCATGGATCTGTGCACTATTTTTACAGAATGGGCGCTCGGCTCAGACCTCTCCAGGGACATATGATATGTGGGTGTGCAATGTTGTTTCAGAAATGTTTTCTATGTTGCGCTCTCTGTATTCGGGAGATAATTAGTTTAACCGAGAGCGGACACAATGATCACTTATCTCCCAGACTAAGAGGCGCCTGAGCGGGCTGAATAGAGACCTCATGCTTGGGGTCTGTCTATATAAACCTGTGTGCTTTTCCAATAAAACCGGTTGTTTTATTGGAAAAGGACACAATATTCACTATTCACCTACTACGGAGGTAACTCCCCAGAGTAACGGAGCTTCTGTATTGGGTACAGAAGCTCCGTTACAGTGGTTAGAGTGCTGAGGCGGGCTGGAAGTCCAGCATGGTGCCCTGACCATAAAGTTGCCTTTGGCGCATTCAAATCGGGGAGGTTGATTTACTCCAGACTCCACGCTATGGGAGTGTCATCTCTCCCATTCCCCTATTTAAACACGGTCTACTCAAAGCTCATTGCTCATGTGCATATTTTCATTGGTGGTATATATACTAAATTGTTGGGGGGTTGTTTGAGTTATATATTTTTTTTTAATGGAGAGTTCCTTTGATGTGTTTTAATGTACTAAATGTCAACACCAACCTGTGGAAGTCTATGACTGTGGTCTATGACTCTGCTGGAATGCTAGAATATTCAGTTTACTTTGTCTGTATTTGACAGTTTTATTTTCCCACAGGATGTCACCTGATGCATTGATATAGATGCTTTGATCTCTTTGGACTGTACAAAACTGAATTTAAAGAACTGTCATATGTCTACTGTTCATGTTTTATAGTTTATTCATACCTTTAGTGCATATGGTCTTTTGAAATATCAAGTAGGAGTGTATAAAATAAACTTTCCTCTGTCAGATGAATGTATGAGTTATTTGAAGTGTAATTTCAAACAGGCTGATATTCATATTTGCCTGCACTTAAAGGGAATTCTAAATTTACAAAAATATTTATTATTATGTTAAATGTGTTCTTTCAATGTTTTAGATTGAGGGCCTCCCTACTTTAACCAAAAAATGCATTTAAACTTACCTGCAATTCAGCACTGGCAGGGATATTTAAAATTCAAAGTGAATTTCAAATTTAAGTCCAATATAGATGAACTGGAAAATTATCTAAGCTATGATTCCAGTTCAGCTATTTTGGTATTCAATTTGAAATTAATTTTTAATTCTTACTCTGTGGAATAATCTTGCCACTGCACCCAGATCGACAGACTGTTAGATAATCAATACTGATCATCTCAGTCCAGTCCAATGCTTCCCAAATAGAAGCACTGGAGATCTACAGCACATGCATGGCACTTGCCACGCTGTGCCAATCCAATGATTTTTTTTTTAGCAGTGCTCAGTGTTATCATGTGGTGTGTAATTGTATTCTAAAACTTACACTCTTCTTCATTCAGTTGTGGAGTCAATGCAAAAAACTTGTTTGTGTTTAGAATCTCTTCATTGCTTTGCACAGATATGTGTTTTGATACAAGCTGAGAAAATAAAAGACAAAATGAAATGAAAAAAGAATATTATATATTAAAAGCACATATTAACTGGTTATAGGCCAAAACAAAAGGCAATGTACACATATATTCTAAACTATAATAGCCTGTATTTTAAAATCTGATTCAATATACTATATTGAAATATATGACATATTGATATAATATTATTTAACTAAAATGTTATGTTTGTGACTGTGATTACAACTTGGAATTAAATAAACAGATCTAAAAAAATACTTTGAGAAAGCCTGTCAACAAGGTGAAACGAAATAGTGTGTTACTCTTTTATGATTTTCCATTTTATTTCAATAAAATTAATGTGTTTTATATACCTGATTTTGGACCATCCGGATTTTAATCATAAGATTGTACCATAAAATTTCTTGGTGGGGATTATACCACCTATGCCATACAGGTTAAGCAAATACGGGTAAGTTTTTCTCTCCACTTGTGAGTACATCTCCTTTTATTACTTTTACCTGTTTTAACAGTGAACAATATATTTTTATTTCTGTTTTATTTATATATCTACAGTGAGAATTTGCTGCTATGTAAACCAATAGAGTGGGAACCCCTGTATACCTAAGTGTGTGGACTACAACACTACAGACACATCACTGAGAGCCAATAGTAGACTCAGTAAATTGTGAGAGTCCATCTACATAAATACTTTTTATTCTGGTGTATTGAACATACTACACTATATTGATTCTTTCTGTTTATGCTCTGTTCCATCCGGAGTTCCCTCATTGTATAAAGACACCAAGTATATCCACAGGCGGGGATTGTACCACCCAGGCGCATGCATTTGGAACTAATTATCAGTCAAGGAAACTGTAAGTGCATTACTTTTTATTTAATTTTCCTGAACTTTAACATGCTACACTATATTTTGCACTTTATCCTCCTTTCTTTTACATTTTCGTAAAAAAATTACAATTTGCTAACTGGACAATTAACAAAAATTTACTGCACTTTATCCTCCTTTCTTTTACATTTTCGTAAAAAAATTACAATTTGCTAACTGGACAATTAACAAAAATTTACTGAAAAACCTGTAGGAGTTTACAACATACCTGTTTTTTTACAATTGGGTACTGGATACAGCACATAGATCTACATTAAATGTTATAAAAAATGAATTAAGTAACCTGTGCATGGATTATATCAGATAATTTATGTAATACACAGTTATAGATGCATATATTTAACATGGGTGTCATAACCTTTCCATTACTGAATCCGACTTGGTCAGAATTATAAAGCAAAATATATGTCTTTGGTTGAGTTTTACTGAAGTATTTGCATAACTCTCTTTACTAAAACTCCCAGCAGCACAGATCATAAGAGAACAACCAATCAATAAAACACTTCAATGTTATACAAAAGGACCTGTCAAACACATCACTTCCTCTTTCTATACAGGTCAGAGTATTTTGTCCTTCTGACTGTTTATTGTTACTTGTTTGATTTATTCTGTATTCTGTGTAATGATTCATATGTATTTAAGATTGTTTTATTAGCTGATATATCTTTCTACAGTTTGAAGATTGTTTTATTAGGTAAACTGATTTATAAGTTTTATTCGCACATTGTGTTTCGCTCGGCCGTGACCTGGTTCCAGATCACCCGGCGTACCTCCATGGGTAAATCATCCCCATACTGGGCCACTCGCTGCCTCACCTCGGCCATCCAATCATCGCCAGAGCCTTCCATACTTGTCTGCTCCAAGTCGCTGGATACCTTTGCTCCCAGGGGCGCTGCACGTGTGCTAGCGTTGCCCTCAATTTGTAACTCCACGAACTGTGTCTCTGAGCTGCTTTACCTCGCACTAGGACGCCATCCCACCGCTTGCCACCAATGTAACGGATCACCTGGCACCCCGACTGGGTACCTCCGTTGAAGGATGCTCCTAGCGCTTCCTGAGGATTCCAAGCACTCTGGCAGACACCACAACCACCGAACCGGAGAAGCATATGAATCCTCTCAAGCATATGAATGCTGTAGACCGTTGAATAGGAACCATACGAATAGGTTTACTCTCCTAGCAGTCAAACTGGAACAGCATACAGTAAATCCTTCCCCCAATAATGAGACAACACTTCACTTTGAGGGTTAAAACAGGAACTCCCTGTACTGTCCCATACAGTCTCTTTTATTCCCAATCCACAAACATAGTACAGCCCACAGGGCGTTACAAAACAACCAATCACATCACAGTTACATCCCACATATTCCCTCCCCTTATCCTGAGAGGAAACTCAATTACACATACAGTTAAAACATACTTTCTACCCAACTTTCATAACTCTAAAACCATACATCACATTCACATAAAATTACATATTCACAATCAATCCATTCAGAGGAACAACATATTCAAAAATGGCACAAATCAGACAAGGGGTTCAAAAGTTAGTAAAAAGTCCTTTGTGACTAAATGAAGCATGGCTTTCTGGCCCAAACCAGTTTCAGAGTCTTCTATCCTGGAGATAAGTAATTCAATTATCTCCCAGGACAGACACAAGACTCCATTAAGCACATGGTTGCAAAAAGACACAAAACACTTTAAAATACATAAAGTAACCTTTTCACATAACACACAGACATTTCACATATCCCCAGATAGCTGGGATCTGAGCGCACAAAACTACTGAAGAGCGCTCAGATCCTATTCACACAGTTCAATTGCTATGGAGCCGAAGTCTTTAACTACACAAATGGGCTCCATGGCATAGCTATCTGGGTTAACACATTCTCATAAAGTCTGGTCCATAGTCCAAAGGCAAGAGGCGGGCAAGCAGCCCCCTCCAAAGACACGTGGCGAGGCCAGTTTCGCCACAGTGTGTGAGTGGTGGGGGTGCTCAGCCCAATTTTTCTGTGACTGCTGGCCCGCAAAACCGCAGGTTGCGCCGATCATTGTGCAAGTGTTGCGAGATTCACGTCGGCCATTTCTTTTTTCCATCCAGATCGGTATTACCGATATACCGATATAAATATACTTACCTTCAAGCTGTATCTGAAACTCCACTCTCACCACTGGAGACCTCAGTGTAGATTTTTTCATCCGCAGTTAAGGTACCTGCTACAAGTGATTACAAATGCATGTTGGGCTGATACATGCTGTTTGCTGACAACAGAATGACATGCACTGAAGTGTAATAGCCATGTGGGAATATACTGAGCTTAACAGCCATATTCACTCTACCATCCCACTGAAGACTGCAGTACTGATTCTCATCCACAGTTAAGGTACCTACTACAAGTTATTCAACTAAGAACTAAGCTGGGGATCAATCCCATGATTCTGAGACTGCATCCTCCGACTACCTGCCACGAAGATTGCATCCATCTGAAAGGAGATTTGACGGATTCTACACACCGATACGGCTCCTCTGTGACTCCTCGCCCGGATAGTGGGCCTTCTTCCTCCTTGACCCAGGCGATATTTCCGGAGCCTCTGCACTACAGAGCCCAGCAACAACTGATGGCAAAACATTTGCATCCAGGTCACTCATACGACCGTTGGATACCCCTATCGGTAGAGGTGCGGACAGAACTTCGTTGGTGGCTACTCCATATGCAAGCCTGGAAAGGCCGGCTATTTTTGGACGAACATCGGAAGGGACTTTCCGACTGTGGCATCCTGCTCTGCATGGACAACTTCTCGGCGGTCCAATGCTTCAACCGCCTGGGCGGAGCCAGATCCCGATCCATAACGGAGGTGGCAGAAGACATATACAATTTTTGACTCGCCCGCAATATCACAGTACTGGCAGAAAACCTCCCGGAGATCACCAACCTCACGGCGGACTGGTCTCCACATAACTGGCGAGCCAACAGCGACTGGCACCTAGATATCTCAACTTTCCACACACTGATGGACCTCAGGGGTCCGCTATACATGGACCTATCTGCATCCAGAACGAATCGACAACGAATTGCGAAGCAGTAGACATTTTCCTGCAAATTTGGCTGGACGAGGGAGCCTATGCCTTCCCACCGTTCTCAATGCTGACACGGGTGGTGCACTACATACACCTTCACGGAGTGTCTTTCCTCCTAATGACTCTCCTCAGAGTCAAGCAGGGTTCCCAGACTTTCTGGAACTGTCTCATACGGGATTCAAGTTGTCTAGGCCGTCCGCACCTAAATATCCTCGTCTCTGAGACGTAGATTAAGGGCTGCATTTTTCTTCAAGGCTGACCAGATTATTCGGGTTTATCCATGAGACAGCTTTCCGTGAAACTTAAGATGCTATTGTGCCTCATATTCTTCAGACGCGTTTTGGATATTCGGGTGTTCAACGTGGACGGTCTTTTCCTTTTCCCTGGATGCCGTTTCCTTTATTTTATACGTCTGGCAGGATCGGATTCTCCGTATCCGTTTTCTAGCAATCCCCGAATGTGCTTCGTGGACACGCTTTTACGGTATGTCAAGGTTACGGCGCCCTTACAGGCTGCCCCTTTAGGCCAACTTTGGTGTCATATGTTAGACCCCATAAGCCAGTCTCGACTACACCTTTGGTCAGCTGGATTCACTGGCTTTTGTCTTTGGCTGGGATAGATTGCAACTTCGGTGCACACTCGGTAAGCCGAGCTGCGGTGTCATGAGTGTTCTTAGCGCGTCATTAGCCGATATCATGCGATGCGCATACTGGTCATGGGAATCTTCTCTCTGTGTGTTTTATTTCAGACAGTCCTCTCGCGCTTATTTCACTTTTCTAAATTCGTAGCTTTAAAACTGCAAATATGAAGCCTTCTGTCATGTGATAAAAATGTAGATTATGCTAATGTAGTGTACCTACAATCTTAATTTTAGTAATGACAGGAGGCGAATATTTCCCACCCTATTATTTCTTCCCACCCTGGGCATTCTATATTTCGATATTTCTATCATTTTTCTATGGTATTAGGATATTCTATGATTATATATGGTGTTATTATATGTATTGTATGGTATTATCGTCTTCTGGTAGCTACATAGATTGTTATAGTTGTTTCTACCGGCTAGGCATGACTGTTATATTTTATTTACATCTAACTTAAGTAGTAGATAGACAGTTATGTTATGTTAGACAAAATGTCACTTCTTTCTGTTTCTTTTCAGTGTGATCGGTGCTTCCTATATCTATTCTGCAATCTGCGGCTGTTACCATGTCTTCCATTCACTTAAGGGAAACACCATTTCATACACCTAAAGGGTGAGCCCCTCTTCACGGCACTATCCTTGTAGATGGCTATACTGTGAAGCAGTATCCCTGGGATACCTGGGTGAGCCCCAGTTGTACTGTGAACCTGGCACCTTGTGTGCGTCTCCACTTATCTTGCTACCACTGATTGTCGCTGTCCTCTCACAGGCAGACCAACCACCATGAGCGACACAACTCCACCAACACAGATTTTCAGGCCATGATTAATGCCGCCATCACTGCCTCAGTTGAAAAGGGTCCTGCCCCAACCTCAGCAAACGAGGCCACAAGACTCTGATGTTGCCCTGGGATCTGATGCTCCACGGAGCCAGACAGGACACAGACGTCACAGGAAGGGTTCCAGGTACCCAACGTCTTAGGCACGTCTAAGGGCCAAGCTCCGTTGAAAAAGCCCAAGTGGACTGGCAAGACACGGCTACAGTTTGGATTCCTTGATTGTTGTTATGTTTGATTACAATTGTTTGATGTTTGGACTTTTGGACATTTGAACTAACCTTTATTAGTTCGCTACAAAGAAAGAGGAAGTGATGTGTGTGACAGGTCCTTTTGTAAAACATTGAAGTGTTTTTTGATTGGTTATTCTCTTATGATCTGTGCTGCTGGGAGTGTCAGTAAAGAGAGTTATGCAAATATTCACCTCCTGTCATTACTAAAATTAAGATTATAGGTACACTATGTTAGCATAATCTACAATTTTATTAAAGGACCACTAAAGTCACCTAGACCACTTCATTTGAATGAAGTGGTCTGGGCGCAGTGGTCCTGTCATTTTAACCCTGCAGCTTTGTATAAACTGCAATGTTTACATGGCAGGGTTAAACACACCTCTAGTGGTTGTATTCTAGATAGTTACTAGGAGCTTCTGCTGCACTGACCGAGTAAAACTCACATGAATTTGCAGCTCACAAAAAAACATTGAATCGAATGCTTTCTTATGCAACGTATTGGAAGCCAGTGCGGTGCTATACTCCTTTATTCCTCCTCGATCATATTGTGGGATGCAGAGAGGTAAGCAGTGCCAAGGTAACCTCGGCGCTGGAAAAAGGTAAATAACTCCTTAATTTTCTTAATTTGTATTGCACGCTGAGTGGCGGGGGACCTACTCTACTTAGGGACATGGCTTTAGGTATAGCTTTATCTTTGCATTCCTAATGCTAAAGTGTAGTTTAATATAATTTTTAAATATTGTATATCACACATAATTCCATGGTCACTTTCATCTAGCAACAGCATTACACAACAAATTTCAAGTCCTAGTTAGCTATTATACCACTCAGTTGAACGACTTAACTAAATCAACTTGCTTCCCCTAGCCTCCATACCATGTTTAAACTAGAAGGTTAATAGCACTAGCTAAGGCGAGTACATTGTCTATCCCTTTCACGATCCCTTGTGCCAATATCAACAAAGTTTCTAAGGTAGTTAAAGTTTACTGGATTATTTTTAACGTATGAGTGCCACCTAGTGGATTTTTGAGTTAGTGTTTTTGGAGCAATCCGCTCAATCTCTACCTCAAATACCAATACAAGATTATTATTATTTTATTATTTATATAGCGCCATCAGATTCTGTAGCGCTGTACAATGGGTGGACTACGGACATGTAATTGTAACCAGACAACTGGACGTACAGGAACAGAGAAGTGGAGAGCCCTGCTCAATGAGCTTACATTTTAGAGGGTAACACACCTTCCCGTTTTCCTGTCTGGCCATCACAGCTGATCAAGTGTAAGCCCTCATGGCAACAGAGTTTGAATTTGTTAAAACATGTCTTCAACAAGATAATGTCATATGCCACCAATGGAATTATTCAGTATGGATTCACAAACATGACAGTGAATTCTGATTACTCCAGTGGCTTGCCAGTCAATAAATCTCATCTAATTCAGGAATGAGCTATTCAAATTTGAGATCATTTGAGTTACTATGGAACAGCATTCCCAAAGAAACCCTTTTAAACTATGTGATGTGATTAAGGGCTGCAATGAGGGAAAAGGGAAGAGCAACTTAATACTGGTAAGGTGTTTCAGACTGTTTTGAACAATTATTATTATTTTATTATTTATAAAGAACCACCAAATTCCATAGCTCAGTACAATAGGTGGACTAACAGACACGTAATTGTAAGAAATAAAAGATAAAAGGTTTCTAGCGCTTACAAAGGTGCTTCTCCCAATTTTTAATCTCCTCTATGTAATTGTAACCAGACAAGGTGGATGCACAGGAACAGAGGGGTTGAGGGCCCTCCTCAGTTAGCTTACATGCCTACATTTACAATCAGTGTAATTGTTATATATAAGAATATGCGAACTAGCCATCGATAGAAACAAAATAAAAGCTCCTAAGGTTTTGATATAATAAAACTCTTCCTTTGTTAGTAACATTTAAGAAAGGCATGCAGGTACACCCAACCGTGGAAAAACATCTAATGCTTTTCATGTTCAAACACACAATTAAACATAAATGCTTCCACTAGCCCCTCCTTTAAATTAAACTACCTGTAGCTCTTCCCAAAGTCGCTGTCTCATTTCTCGGCCTTGAGCTTTCACCTCCTTTTCCTTGGCAATCTTTCTTTGTAAGAGTTCATCAAGTGATTTCATCTTCTCCATGGCTTTAGCCAGGTTTGGGTCTTTCTTGATATCTGAAAATGTAGACAGAATAATAAAATATAAACGCTACAATTATTATTATTGCCATTTATATAGCGCCAACAGATTCCGTAGCGCTTTACAATATTATGAGAGGGGGATTTAACTATAAATAGGACAAGTACAAAAAACGTACGGGAACAATAGGTTGAACAGGACCCTGCTCAATCAAGCTTACATTCTATAGCAATTAAATTAACACTATTAAAATAGTAGAGGGATTTATTTAGAACTGGTAAACTTTACCCCCATTTGCTGCAGAACACGCTGCTTTGATCACAAGGCAAAATATGAAAGATTTTGTCTATTTTTCTTTAAACTTTACAGAACTAAGTATGTTTAAAAAATTATATTTACATCTGATCACCAGATGACCTTATTCTAACCTGAAAACATTGTTAAGCCTGTGTTATTGCATCCTAAAGGGATGGTGAATAGAGTCAAGCAAAATCATTCATCCCATCTTTCATCTGCCTAAGATCATCTTATGGTTAACCTTACTCTGCTTAAGTCGTCCTTTTCACTAGGGTAGTATGTTCTAGTCAGAAAAGGAAAATGAAACAATTCCACCTTGGTCAAAATCAATGTTTCCCCAAGTAAGGACTTATTTTACTTTCTTTAAAAAAGAAAGTTTAACAATTTGGAGGAACGAGGAAGTAATGTCTCCTCACCATGTGAAAGTAAAGACCCAAAAACTTACAGTCTATCATTGCTAAGGCTGGACCGCTTTGGATTAACAATGAGAAAGTGAAACAGTGCCAGGACAGTCCAGTTTTTTGATCATGGTCAAATGTTTGACAACATTTGAGGGAACTCCGCTTACCATAATCATTACAATACGTTGTAGTGGTTATGGTTCTAAGGGTGTCCCTTTAACGTCAAACCACTAAAATAATGAGGAGGGGGATAAAAACTGAAGAACAGCCATGTCAGACGGGTGGCATGTCCAAAGACAGATTGTAGAAGAGAGAACAACAGAACAGGACCATGACAATAGAGAAATGGGTACAGAATCACTGGCTATTTCATTAACTGTTAATAAAGGAACAGTCCAACTTTAAAAATAAACATATTATTTTATAATTGCAGATGTACTTCTTAGTAGTTTTAGATTAACGGCGCAGGTGCATCATTTGGTGTCACCCATAAATCTACTGTTTCTCTATGGGAAGCATTAGCCTTACTGGGAGTGATTATGCTGTGCATGTTAACACTAAATATGAAAGATGGGAGAGGACCCAAGAAAGGATTTTTTTTTTGCAAAATGGAAACATTGACGCTTCTCAGAAACAGCAATGGTTTACATTGTTAAACAAAAGGGACAGCATCTAAGCACCAAAACTGTAAGATTAAGATATAGTAGTTTTGGTATTGAGAGTGACCCTTTAAGGTTGGAATAATATAATTTACTTTAGGACCACCTAGTTCTAAATATAGTACTTTACTGATATACCACTTTCCTGTCTGGTTTCAGCACAGATGAGCATGGCTCCTAAACTGAATAAAGATTTGAGTTAATACATTTTCGTGGACAAATGTAAATATGTAAAAATAATATTTGCAATAACTGTGCGCACTTTCATACAGATATTATTACATAATGTCATAATGCAACATGGTACCCAGAGTGATCTACTTCCACATTCAAGTGTTAGGAATCTAAAGTGAATTAAAAGTTTCTGGCTAAGTATATGAGCAATGTCCACAGCAGTCAAAGCACAAAAGTAAATATAGGAAGTAATAGCATATGGGAATTTTTGGACTGAGAGGGGTGGGGAGAATTATAAAGTATTTGAGTTTGCAAGTATCTAATCATAGGAACTTTACACTGGCATGCTGTTAGTATAAACTAGGGGTAGTCAACCTTTTAATACCTACAGACCATTTTTTTTTTATCCTTGTTGATGGTAAAATTTCCTTACCGTTCACCAGTGCAAGTGAGATTCTTTTTTCTTTTTTTTAGAAGGTAGGGTTTAAAAAAAAAAAAAAAAACTGAAATGTATCTTTTTTTTCCCTTTTTTTCTATTTTCTATTCTTTTCTTTTTATGTGTGCCTGGGAGGTGCTGTGTTTGTATGAAGAGTGCTGTGTGTGTTTGTGTGTGAAGGGTGTAGTGTGTGTGTGAGAGGTGCAGTGTGTGTGAAGGGTGCAGTGTGTGTGTGAAGGGTGCAGTGTGTGTGTGAAGGGTGTGAAGGGTGCAGTGTGTGTGAAGGGTACAGTGTGTGTGTGAAAGGTGTGAAGGGTGTAGTGTGTGTGTGTGAGAGGTGCGGTGTGTGTGAATGGTGCAGTGTGTGTGTGTGAAGGGTGTTGTGTGTGAGAAAGGTGCTGTGTGTGTATAGGTAGTATGTGTGTGTGTGTAAGAGGGCAGTGTGTGAAGGGTGCATTGTGGGGTAGTGTGTGTGTGAGGGGTGCACTGTGAGTAAGGGGTGCAGTGTGTGTGTGTGTTTGAGGGGGCAGTCTGTGTGTGTGAGGGGTGAAGTGTGTGAGGGGGCAGTCTGTGTGTATGTGAGGGGACAGTGTGTGTGTGAGCAGTCTGTGTGTGTGGGGTGTAGTGTGTGTTTGTGTGTGAAGGGTGCATAGAGTCTATGCTGTGTGTAGGTGGGTGAGATGTGAAAATCTATCTTAATGTCTCCCCCTCTCTTCTTCTTACCTCTCACCAGGTAGAGGGACATAATGCTGCAAGCCCTGGTGGTCCAGTGGTGGCATGTTCACTTTAGCCTGCAGCTCCTCTGGCTGCATGCTGACTATCCTGCCCTCCTATGAGCATTGCCATGGTAATGTGTGAGGGCAGTGTGTGTGATGGGTGCATCGTGGGGTAGTATGTGTGTGAGGGGTGCACTGTGAGTAAGGGGTGCAGTGTGTGTGTGTGTGAGGGGGCAGTCTGTGTGTATGTGAGGGGGCAGTGTGTGTGTGTGAGGGGTGTAGTGTGTGTGAGGGAGCAGTCTGTGTGTGAGGGGTGTAGTGTGTGTTTGTGTGTGAAGGGCGCATAGGGTCTATGCTGTGTGTAGGTGGGTGAGATGTGAAAATCTATCTTAATGTCTCCCCCTCTCTTCTTATCTCTTACCAGGTAGGGGGGACATAATGCTGCAAGCCCTGGTGGTCCAGTGGTGGCATGATCACTTTAGTCTGCAGCTCCTCTGGCTGCAGGCTGGCTCTCCTGCCCTCCTGTGAGCAGAGCACTGTATCGGAGTGTTGCCATGGTAACTCGTAGCAACGCTCCGAGCACCCTGCTTGCGGGAGGAACACAGAGCCTCCCAGGCCATTCCCTGCTGGCCAGCAGGCCGGTGAGGGAGACCTTTGATCTCATCATCAGCCTGAGAGGGTTTACAGCATGGGCATTGCAAGGGCCTACAGAAGGATCTCCCCTGCCAGTCTTGGTCCACGGCCATCGAAGCCCACCGGGCATTTTCTGCAGAACACACCACCGCCCACCTGAAATCCTGGTAGGGACCAGGTTGACTACCCCTGTATATGAATTTAAGGTGAATTTCAAAGTTTAGGACAAAATAGCCTATCTTAAAACTTAACTGACTATTTCTGCTATTTTGTCCTAAACTGTTACATTCACGATAATTATAACATGTAAAGAACCATGATACAGTTGAATACTGCAATATTCTGTTATTTTGTCCTAATTTTTTTCAGTGGGTTATTAACTCACTCCACGTCACTATACGGTTACTACACCTGTAAGTGTATACTGAAAACATTAAATAATGTATTGTGAGTGCAAATGGCTCTTCAACTATCCTACCTTCTGAAACACGGGATATAGACCTTGATTTTATATTTTTGGCTAAGCTTTTCAAATAATTTTATATTTTTGAATAAATGTTTTAAATTATTATTTTGAAAATATTTAAATTTTACCAAATATATAATATATATTAAACATATCAATATTTGGAAAAATACTAAAATAGTTTCAAAACACTCATTAAATTTACACGTTTTTGGAAAGCTAATCCAAAAATATTAAATCAAGGTCCTTGTTAGTCATTCATCAGAAGTACCATAACTGACTGGGTATCTACTAATAACTTTGTAGATGACATCATTGATTGGTACACAGCATGCTAAGCTTAAAACTGTCAACAGTACTATAATTAAACTGATAAATGCTCTGGTGTGGCAGCAATCAGCATACAGAGCACTTTCACAAATCAGATCTGATAAGTAGAACTGCGGGTTCAAGGGTTGAACTACAGATCCCATAAATCTTTGTTGACAACGCTAAATTGCAAATTATGCAACTTTATTTAACTATCAATAGCGTAAATTTAAAAGAACAAATAAAAGCATAATGGTTTTATTGGGAAAACAAAAACAGCATAGGTAACTTGGTGGTAGAGGAGAACAGACATGTGTTATAGCTTGTGTTAATTAAGGAATAAAATCAACCATTACTTTATAACTACCCACATTGTTTGCAACATATCCTTGATACTATATGGCCAACATGTCCTGAATTGAATCTCGTAAAGACACTTTCAGACAAACACATTCTGTGGGCAGCAGATTAAATAGCTTAAAAACTCAAATCTACCTTTTGGTGATGTGGAATCAAAAGTGGTTGATGATGGGGACTCAGATTCCCTGAGATCCTGGATATCTTGTACTTCGATAGAGGGTCTACCATTATCTGCAGATGATATAAAACAGCTGTTAGTGGGATTACATTACAACATCAGGTTTAGCTAAAACGAACTCATAAACAATTAACAGATTTAGTGGATAATGGACCCTGACAGGTTGTTTGCTAACACACATTGATGAGTTGGTAACCCATCACAACATTTCCAGATGAAGTACATAAAATTAATATTATGTTTGCAGACATAGACAGAGACACGGCACATGAGAATAATATCTTATTTGCAAAATAACCTCCAATCACTATTCCCACTACTTGGGTTACTCTGGCATAGGTGCTTTGTTGGTGTGACATGGGACAAAGTAGTGAGAAAGTAGCCTAGTACAGCCACAATCAGCAAAGCAGAATCCCACTAATCCACATGGATGGTTTGGTCTCCAGATTCCAGGACCCTGTAAATAATCAGAGCGGGCTTTGACAATATTACATTTTAGGTGAGGTGGAGGGAAACGTATAAATAAAGATTTGTTTGCTACATTAATTACTACACATAAACAAATAAAAAAAAAATACAAAAATGATTTGTAATTTTTCAACTGTAATGTGAAATGAGAGTAAGCAATTATAATACCTGTTATATTCACAGGAGAGAATGGAAGTTGAAAAATGTCCTCGAAATCATCTCCATTTGTATTATTTTCTGAAATACTTTCATCAGAGTTCTCTACGTATTCTTTTCTTTGAGGCATTTTTTCTCCATGAAGGTTCCCTTGTCTATCTTCTCCAGGAGTCCCTCGTCCATCATCTGATGATACTTTCATTTCACAAAATTGCATCTAGAGTAATATATGGCAAGTAGCGAGATTCATTTTCATTTCGTGATGAAATTAAAAATATATATATAAATAAATTAAAACAACACCTCAAGCACCATAACCACTACACCTCTCTCAGCCAATGAGCTAGGCCTGCACTGGGGCCAGCCCTGCATAGGACTTCACACGGCAGAGCTAACCAAAGCTCCTAAGCAAAAGCTTCAGGCTCTCTGTTGAATTTAGTGTATGCACTTTGTTTTGGTTTAACTTCTGTGCTGGCAGGTTTCATTTTCTATTTTATTATATTTTTATTGTATTCAGTACATATTAGTGCAATATACAGGGTGCAGTAGTAATTTGCAATGTACCATAAATTACTGGTCTCTTCTATTTTTATAGGTCTATCAGCCTTGGCCTGGAGAAAGGCTCAGACGGAATGAGAGAGAATGGAAAAGGGATCCATCTTCTCCCTGCCCCTTCATTATATTTCTTCTCTTCTCTCTTTGCCTTTCGTTCTCACTTCCACTTTGATGCCTTGCCTTCTTTCTCTACATCCTGTTTCATATTATCTACATTCTAATTTCATTGTATCCTAAAATATTTATATTAATATTGAATGCCATTGCTAAACATAGGCGTGCGCAGCCTATTGCAAAAGGGTGTGCACCCTGAAGCACAAACACACACGCCGCGTATATATATATATATATATATATATATATATATATACACACACACATATATATACATACACACACACATATACTGCTGTGTGTGAGGGTGCTGTGTGTGTGGGCGCTGTGTGTGTGTAGGCGTTGTGTGTGTGTAGGCACTGTGTGTGAATTCATTAAAGGACCACTATAGTCACCCAGACTACTTCAGCTCAATGAGGTCTGGGTGCCAGGTCCCTCTAGTTTTAACCCTGCATTTGAAAACATTGCAATTTAAAAGAAATGCAGAATGTCTATAGGAAAGCATTGCGCATGTCGGAGGTGGAGGAGAGCCCCTGGCGAAGGTGCAGTTAGACGCACCGAAATGCGCATCAGGTTTCTCTCAAATATTTATTTTTAATCCACTTATGGAGGCACTTGGTGTTTAGCACTCAATTTATTATTTTTGCTCAGAGTTTTTGTTTTGTGGGGTGGTTTGGGAGGTTCAAGTTTGTACCACTCAGATCTTAGGGACAAGTATAGAACACCCTCGAAGGTGTTGCTTTAGGAGTAGTAGGGTCTAGTAGGTAGTGCTTTTGCAGATTTGCTGTATACTGATTAAGCGGTTTTATTGAATCCTAGGGGATAACTCAGCATCTATCTTTATTTTTATTATTTTCTTGCTCCCTATTATAAGAATTATTTTTACTTTATGTGCGTCTTTATTATTGATGCTACCGCTACTCTTTAATCTACCTGCCTGTCCCTAAGCCAAATAGCAGCCTATATATGCCGTCATTACTGACCCCCCAAGTCTTGTATATATGAGTCTATCCACTACTTAGTGGACTTTCCCTGGCATTTGGTATTTACCTCTGCTTGGGTTTAGTAGCCATTATTGAGGTTTGACTACAGTGCCAATCTACCAGCCCTCCTCCCTCTCCTTCATTGTTAGGACTATGGCTATTATTCTATGATACATCACTTTTTTATAATTTATGTAGAACGTGGTTGCTCAGCAGCCTTTAATTTTGCATCACTTTTGTGTATTGCCTATATCAGTGATGGCGAACCTTTTTGAGCCGGAGTGCCCAAACCCCAATACATGCCAACTTTTTTACCCTCAAAGTGCCAACACGGCAATTAAACCTGAATACTGAGGTTTAAGTTTAGAAAAAACAACTCGTACAGTTGACCGAACTAATTCTCCTCTTCTTTCCCCCCAGCATCTTCCCTTCTCTACCCACAGCATATCCCCGTCTCCACCCAGCATCTCCTCCTCCTCCTCTCCACAGATTCTCCTCCTCTCCCCTTTCTATCCCCAGAATCTCCTCCGATTCTCCTCTTTCTCCCCACTCCTTTCTCCCAGATTCTCCTCTTCCTCTCCCCCCAGCATCTCCTCCTCTCCCCCAGCATCTCCTCTTCTCCACCAGCTTCTCCTTTTCTCTCCCTCAGCTTCTCCTCTTCTCTCCCCCAGCTTCTCCTCTTCTCTCCCCCAGCTTCTCCTCTTCTCTCCCCCAGCTTCTCCTCTTCTCTCCCCCAGCTTCTCCTCTTCTCTCCCTGTAGCATCTCCTCTTCTCTCCCCTAGGCATCTTCCCCTCTTCTCTCCCCTAGGCATCTTCCCCTCACTTCCCCAGCATATCCCCCCTCCCCCAGTATATCCCCCTCTCCCTACCAGCACATAAATAATGTGTTGGTTTTTTTTGGTGCGGGTGGGAGTTTGAAGTCCTCCCAGGCTTCCTACCTCCTTCCAGCTGCTGTAAGGGGGTGTGGGTGTGAGGGAGCACTGACTTACGTGCTTTTCCAGCACTGCTCCCTCTGCTGATGCTGCCGGCAAAACAAGAAATTACATCAATGCGGCGGCGGCGCCTGATTGACGTCATTTCATGTCTCCCGGCGGCATCAATGGAGGGCGCAGTGCTGTAACAGCACGTAAGTCAGTGCTCCCTCGCAGCCCTCCATTCCACCCACCCACCAGTGCCACCTTAACAACATTATGGGCCCCCGGGCAAAGCAGTGCACTGGGGCCCTGCCTACACACAACTCACAGGAATAAAAATTAAAATTATAGATAAAATTAGGCTTATATTTATTAGTATCTTCAACAAATGCAATACATACATAAAATACATACACACAGACTGCTGAATACATACACACGGACACACACACAGTCCGCTGAATACATGCACACAGTTTGCTGCATACACGCACACACAAACAAACACACAGACTGCTCAATACATAAAGACTGCTGAATACACACACTGCTGAGTACACATACAGACAGACTGCTGAATACACACACACACAGACAGAATGCTGAGTACAGACAGACTGCCGAGTACACACAAACTGCTGAATACATACACACAAACACACACACACATGCTGCATTAAGGGGTGAAGTGTATGTGTTTGTGTGTACGGGTGCGGAGTGTGTGTGGAGTGCTGTGTATGAGGGGTGCAGTGTGTGCGAGAGGGGTGCTGTGTGTGTGTGAGAGGGGGTGCTGTGCTGTGTGTGTGTGCTGTGTGTGGGGGGGTGCTCTGTGTGTGCGGGGGTGCTGTGTGTGAGACGGGTGCTGTGTGGGGTGCTGTGTGGAGGGGTGCTGTGTGAGAGGGGGTGCTGTGTGTGTGGAGGCGGGTGCTGGGTGCTCTGTGTCAAAGGTGTGCTGTGTGTGTGGGGGGTCTGGGTGCTCTCTGTGAGAGGGGTTCTGTGTGTGAAAGGGGTGCTGTGTGTGGGGGTGCTGTGTGTGTGGGGTGGGGTGCTCTGAGAGGGATGCTGTGTGTGGGGGTGCTGTGTGTGGGGTGTGTGAAAGGGGTGCTGTGTGTGTGGGGGTGCTGGGTGCTCTGTGTGAGAGGTGCTGTGTGTGGGGAGGTGCTGTGTGTGTGTGTGACGGAGTGCTGTGTGTGTGGGGGGGGTGCTCTGTGTGAGAGGGGTGCTGTGTGTGTGGGGGGGGGGGAGGTGCTGGGTGCTCTGTATGAGAGGGGTGCTGTGTGTTAAAGGGATGCTGTGTGGGGAGGGCTGCTGCAAATATATTATTACAATCTGTATCCCCCTCCCTTCTGCTTACCTTATGTAAAGGAGGGGGGGACACATAAATCCCTGGTGGTCCAGTGGTGGTAAGAGGGACAGGTCCTGCAGCTCTCCCGCCAGCCTGCGCGATGCTGTGTGGAGTGTTACCATGTTAACGCGCGGCAACACTCCACTGATTGCTCGCGGGAGGATGGGAGAGCTGCTTCTCAGATCACTCCCCCTGTCCTCCCGACACGGAAGCAGAGTAGGCACCTGCCATTTTGGGCAGGCAGGTGCCTACTCTGCATTGAGGGCGAGCTATGGTCGAGTGCCCACAGAGAGGGCCCGGCATGCCACCTGTGGCACGCGTGCAATAGGTTCGCCATCACTGGCCTATATCAATTAAGTTACTATTTTTATGGATACTTTGGAATGATATACTGTGAGAACTCTGGCATCTTTTCCCCACTTACCTTACTCTAAGCTATCTGTTACTTGTTACAGTCTTTATTTTTCACTTTTCCCCTTTCTTTATAAAAACCAGCATTGAGTCCCGTTTTCCATGCGGATTCAATTTTTTTGTTCTATCTTAAATTGGAGGAGAGGTCACTAGCACCGAGGGAGCCTGGTGCTGGATAAAGGTGAGTGGGTTTTAACCCCTTCAGCCCAGTGGGAGGGAGGCCCTGAGGGTGGAGGGGAACCTAAGGATTATAAAGTGTCAGGAAAACAAGTTTTTTTTTCTGACACTATAGTGTCCTTTAATAAAAATATTCAATACAAAGAGAAAGCAAAAGCAAGGTATCACGCAGGTTTTATCTGTTCACAAAAGTTTTCAGCACCTATATATTGTACAGAAAAAGAAACACAAAATAATATATGTGTTATAACCAGCCTATACATTTGCAAAGAATTAATGCATAACTGGAAAAAAAAATTCTGTACATTTGCATTATTTTATTTTAGGTAACTGTAACCAATTGGTAGATTTTATTTTATTTTGTTAGCTATATATCTCATGTTGAAAAAATGTATCCTTATTTCTCAATGAAATTATCTCAGCAGTGAAGAGGTTAAAGGGACACTATAGACCATTTATGCGTCAACATTGTGTCCTCTTTTTTCACTGTATAAAAAGTGCAGATAATAATAGAACAAGAAAAATTGGCACTTTTATAATTAACTTGTTACAGTCCCTTGGCTGTCAATTAGACAAACTGCCATTATACTTACTGGTTTGTTTAGCTCAGTGGAGCTAAACTCAAGAGGCAGACAATTGCATAGTGTACCTTCTTTGCAAAGATTCCTTATTGAGCTGTATTGAGAATCCTGTGATTGAACAGCCAAAGAAAGACTGGGCTGAGTTAGAATGGGGAGCTTGCAAAGGCACAAAAGCAGCAGACAAGAGATCTGCAGCTTTTGCGAACATTTTCTACATATACTCCCAATGAAAAAATGCATTATTAAATGCATGCATGTTTCCATTGTGACTATATTTACTCACTAGATAAGCAACAATTTCTGGCGAAATTGTATGAAGTGTTCTTGCCTCCACCAGTAGTCTACAATTGGAGTGGGCGGAGTAACTGGGTGGAGTGGCTTGAGTAACTGTTGTGTGGTTGGAGTAACTGTGGAAAAGTTGGACTGGGCAGAGTAACTGTGTGGAGTGTTTGTAGTGAGTAAAGATAGTAAACATTACACTAACCAATTGACTGATCAAATTTAAAAAGTGCACATGGCAAGCTTGATAGACTGAGAAATGCATTTCAACTTGTATTTATATAGCACATTTAATTGTAACGTTGTTGCCCAAAGTGCTTCACAGTTACATTAACCCCTTAAGGACACATGACATGTGTGACATCACGATTCCCTTTTATTCCAGAAGTTTGGTCCTTAAGGGGTTAAAACATACATTTATAAAAACATTTGCAGGTGTACAAAAGGCCCTGTCTATGACATCACTTGCTGCTCCAGCCTGGCACAGGTCAGAGTATTTTGGCGGTTGCCATCTTCAAATGGTCGTATTTTAAAAACTGTACATCCTACAGCGAAGAGCTTTATATTGTGAGAATCACAAGACCCAGGCCTACATTTTGATTTTTCAGTATGTCTCTGAAATATTAACAATGAAGGCACAGTCGCAGTTTAGAAATTGCCCTTCAAATTTGAGATGACTAGAGTGGAGTTTCAATGAATGTCAATGGACGGCATGAGTTGCAAACAAATGGTCATGTTGTGAAAACTATCAGGACTATGGCTTAGCCGTGGACATTTTTAGTGGCAGCAGGGATAGCTGAACGTTTTATATAAGATTTGTGTAGGTTGGCTTGAAAATGAGGGAGTGGTGGCAGTTTAGAAATCATGTCCTGATTTTTCAGCTTTTGCCAGTGCCCACTCTAGTTTTGAACATTTTGCCATTCATTCCTATGGGACCAATTTCGCCACAAGAAAGACGATATTCCGTGAACGATTCGGCGGAACGTTCCACAAAGTAATAGCAATCCAATCGGGAACACGTTTCGGTATATTACTGTCTATGTAGTGTAAAAACTGTGGGAGGAGTTAGGGTGGTAAATTTGGCTATAATAAGAATAATAATAATAATATATATGTGAGATAACATTAAGTGGTCTTGCTATGCAAGAACACTTAAAAAGTGATTTTTAATTTATTTGGGGATGTATTTGATGATCTTTTTTAAGGACTATTGACTTTGATCAGGCAAATTTCGGAATAGGTATTTCTAACCTGGGACACCAGCTCAGGAGTTAATACTTCCAAAGATCCAGTAACAGGATTTATTCTTGGTTTATCTTCATAACGTGAACTTGAAATACGACTTCCGGGACGAGATTTAGAGACTACAGCCTTGCAATCGAAATCCAGTTCTCCCTTTATAATATTCATATCAAGAAGTCAAAATACAGATCTGGGAATAGATGAATACCCAATCAAATGTATATTTTAAAATAATAGATTCAAGTTTCCCAATCCAAGTATACAAATAAACGTATTTAGATAAGGGATTATGAAATTGTTAGTAGTCCCTTAAATAAGAAAGACACAAGCTAAATATGATTGCAGTTTATAACCAAAATAATATTGTTGGGTTTTTTTTCAATAAATACTAAAGTAGTTATGTATAATGAGTAGTTATAGTGCAAAGTTCTAAAAGTGAAACAATGAGCAGAAACATTCCATTGGTTTCTATGGTGACTGCTACACTTTTAGAACTTTGCCCCAGATTCACTCTTTATACATAATATCCCAAAGACAAGCACAATGCAAACTGGATTGCAAAATTTAGGCTACAATAGCCAAGCTGTATGTATTGCTGTGTTAATGTTTTTTTGTTTTTTTTTCTCAAATCAGCTGTTATTGACTACATTTTGTTATTCCGTTTTCAGTAATACCAGGTTTAGTGGATAAACTCAAATGTCAAATATGGTAGCAATTACAAGCTGTTATGGCAGAATTTTTTTTTTTTTTTTTAGTAAAATAGCAAAACAGTTTTTAGTTTACTAACCTAGTTCCCATGTTTAACTATAACGAACACACAAATACATACTAAACGAACATTTTCAATCTAAATCTTCAATTTCCCATTAAGGTTAAGACTCTCTACAATATGAAGTTTGGTGAATGAACTCCATTTTGCAAGAATATTTACACATACTAATACTACTTACAACAGGGAAATGCATACTTTGGAGTTCCAACTGATGTGGACTACATTTCCCATGATGCTCAGCCAGGTACTTTGCATTATGATTATCTAGCCAAAGAAAGTCCACACCAACAGCAGTTGTCTCATTAATGCCATATATAAATAGCTGGCTGATAGGAGAGTGCAGCCCACTCAAACACAGGCTAGGTAACGATTCAACCACCATTAACACAGCCTCTGCAAGGAACACACGCACACTACATCGATATTTTATCACGATCCCATAATCCCCTCTGCCCAAATCGATAAATCGGGACACCTTTGTTTATAATTTCTTACCCAACGTCGGCTTTTTCAGGCCCCGAACATGGTGTCGTCCGTTACTAGGTTACCAGACGCTGCAGTTTCATATCGCCACCTTGTGGCCGCCCAAAATACAGCTTTACAGTCAGCTGTGGTGTGTGTATATAAAATATCATTTTGGTTATTATTGTCAAAAACATTTTAAGTAAAATTGTCTTTTTAAACATAATTTAGAATTACCAAGATAACTATTTATTAAGAATAGTGAATATTATAATTATGCCCTATTCTTAATTTAATTAAAAAAAAAACCTCTTGCAATTTTTGTTATGAGATGGAACCAATTTTCCCACTCAAGTATTGTATTTGCTGTTTTTTAATATATATTTTTAAACATTGTATCCTTCACCTAAGTAGTCTGCAAAAATATTTTGGGTTCATTTTCTCTCCATTCATTTCAATTGCATAGATATCTTCCACAAGCTCATATTTATATGGCTCGCATTAAACACCATATAAATATGGGCAGATAGTAAATGCCCTATATAGGTGGAGACCGTGGAGTGAATGGTGAATGAATAAGAACACAAGGTGCCACTGCCAGAGGGATATTTAGGTTGCTCAAGAAAGCAGCTTTAAAAAAAAAAGAAATCCTTGTGTGGAAAAATTTGTGCTGCAGGGTTATTCACTAGGCCGTGAATTAACTAGAACAAGGGTCTCCAAACTCTGGCCCTCAAGATGTTGCTAAACTACAACTCCCACAATTCTGTGAATGAAATAGCTAGCCAAGGAATCATGGGAGTTGTAGTTCAACTTCTAGAGGGCAAGAGTTTGGAGAACCCTGCATTAGAGAATCACAAAAAATAGTTGAGCTACAAACATGACTGAATTTTTCCAATATGGCATTTTGACCTACTTTTGCAATTCTTATACTAATTCCTGGCAATTCAAGGTTTCTTTGTGAATAAACTGGACAGATGTGTTAGTATTTCTGAAAGGGTTGTCACTATAGTCCATGGGTAAGTAGAACAAATTAAATTGTGCACAAAACAAGTAAACTTGCTGGTTTTAATTATTTCTACTAATCATTATCCCTGCTCCTTCCTCAGTAACTACAGTACTGTAAAACTGCACAGACCATGCAACACAGAGTGTATCTAAAATGTAGCTCCGCCCAATTTTATGTAGAACTACAACATCCATCATGTTTGGCATGTCGGTGACTGGCAAAGCATCACGGGAATTGTAGTCCTACCACAGTAGCATTCTATTTCTGCAACAGGTCTCTTATCACGTGACGCATGACGTTTTCCAGTGCTGACGCTGGAAGCTGGCGGAAGTGGAGGGGGTTGTGAAGAGCGGAAGCGGAAGTGTCACAGGCGTCCACTGCTTGTCCTGTCCTGATCATGGCTGCTGTGATGGCCGCTGTCGGTTGTCGTCGGTTTATAGTATGTTTTCTGGCAGTCCTGTCGTGTTGCTGGGCGGACACTGATATCCTGAGCCCCGGGTCGGCTGGGGATAAGTTCAAGGTGGAAGGCCGGGCTGTGGTGCCAGGGGTCAGACCGCAGGACTGGGTGAACAGTGCCCGGGTCCTGGTGGATGGGGAAGAGCATGTCGGCTTCCTGAGGTATGGCGATACAAAGAGCCGAATGGACACATTCAGCCGGTCAGGGGGTCAAGAATGGGCTGACATGGAGCAATAAACCCCTGTGATCATGTCAGTATCTCTACGAAAGTACAGGATTATTTACTAATGTGAGTTTCTAGTGCTGGGTCAGAATAGCTGAATTTCGAGTTAGTCAATAAAGTGAGAATTACTGGAAATTCAAAGTAAATTTCACATTTCAGACCAAAATAGCCAAGCTGAAAACAACAGACCTGGAGAATTTTTTCCAAGTTGGCTAAATTTGGAAATTCATTTTGGATTCCCCGCAATTCTTACTTTAGTGAATAACCCTGTTGGAGGTGCCCTCCCCCTACCCCCTTTTTTCGGCTAGCTCGGCCTAGAATTAGAAATTCTAGTAATTCACACTTTTGGGAATAAGTATGTACACCTGTAATACTAGGATGTGGCGTTGGGAAAAGAGCTGACAGTGTCAAATTATAAAAGCCCTTCCACAGTGATGTCTATATAAACCTTGACTGTTGTACTGTGTACCTGTTTTCATACAATAATGAATGTTTCTTTTATTTTCAGTTATTTTAATCTGCCTTTGTATGATACTAATGCCCATTTTACTTTAAAATGAACCCTTCTATTGATTGTTCTTGTGTAACAGTCAACAATGTTTTGACACTTGCATCATGCTATCTATTAAACAGCTAATGTGATAAAGTACTGCATTTCATGTATTGTATCCTTTGTTCACTGGAAATGGGGCACCTCATTTGGAAACTAAATTTTTAGAATAGGACAGGGGTATTTGTATTTTGATATATTGTTTCCTGGGTCCTGGAAAATATACTGAGACAGTAATAGTAGACATGCCTTAAAATACTTTACTCATCTGCACAACCAGATAGGACATAAGTGACTGGGATGGAAATGAACATTTTAAGAACCATAACCACTAAATTAATCTGGGGAGCTTCTGTCTCTCCTGCTTACAGAGAGGAAAGGGGGGCAGCATATAGTGGACACCAGGTAAGAGGTGAATTTAACTTTAAAGTCAACGTTTCAGCCCCCACATGGAGCTTTCATTAGGACAAGAAAATATACATATAATATATATATATAGTTATTTGCAGTGTAGCACTGCGAAACATGTTAAAACAAAGTTTATTTTTAGCCTGCTTTATGTTTTATTGATAATGTAAAGTGGTGTGTGTGTTTTTTTTGTTTTTTTTTACATGCTTATAGGACAGATGGCAGCTTTGTGGTTCATGATGTCCCATCTGGCTCCTATGTTGTAGAAATATTTTCACCAGCCTACCGCTTTGAGCCTGCCAGAGTAGACATCACTTCCAAAGGAAAAATGAGGTAAAGCATCCATTTAAAAACCACTATTGCTGTTTCATGATTCAACAATTATTTTTCAAGGGCTCATCCATGTATGTTGTAAAAGATTGTAGCTGCTTCATCTCTCAGAATTATTCGCTTGGGGTTTTAGGAAACAAATTCTGATGGTGAAATTGAGGCAAAAAATAATCAAGTAGACCGTATAGCTGAGGTGGAGAATTTCGCCAAATCAGAAATTTTAGCCTAGATTTCATTTCGGTTTTAATTTTCTAAAATTTTCCATTTAGCGAATTACCCTGTCTGCATAGGTACACTTCTTGTTTACATACTTGCTTTATCCTTCACATTTGTTTTCTTTAGTCATACACTGTCAGGCAAGTGGCATGGGATTTGCTATTCATAAATGCAAAATTACACATTTTGGAATGAAGACATATTCAATATATAATGTAGAGTTAGAGATATTTTAAAAGGAGTCTAAAGCCACAGAGACCGCTTCTTCTCAATGAAGTGACCTGGGTGCAGTGCGCCTGTTGTTTTAACCCTGTAATCTAGTAACTGTCTTCCTGACAGCCAGTAGAGGCCCTTCCACTGCAATAACAAGGTCAGACTCGATTATTCAATCAGATGCTTCTCTTAGAAAGCTTTTTATTGGAGTAGCGTTTTACACCCTGTATTAAAGGATCACTATAGGGTCAGGAACACAAATGTGTATTCCTGACCCTATAGTGTTAAAACCACCATCTAGTCCCCCTGGGTCCCTCATGCCTCCATAAATATAGTAAAAAATCTTACTGTATTCAAGCTTGAAGCTGTAACTCTGCATACTGTTAGAAAAACAAGCAGTTTGCTAACATCATCAGAATGGTAGCCTGATCCAATCACAATCCTTCCCCTTAGGATTGGCTGAGACTGACAAAGAGGCAGATCAGGGGCAGAGCCAGCATGTTTCAAACACAGCCCTGGCCAATCAGCATCTCCTCATAGAGATGAATTGAATCAATGAATCTCTATGAGGAAAGTTCAGTGTCTGCATGCAGAGGGTGGAGACACTGAATGTTTGGATGCATTTTAGGCAGCCATGGCCCAGGAAGGCTCTCTAACAGCCATCTGAGGAGTGGCCAGTGAAGTGATCACTAGGCTGTAATGTAAAGACTGCATTTTCTCTGAAAAGACAGTGTTTACAGCAAAAAGCCTGAAGGTAATGATTCTACTCACCAGAACAAATTCAATAAGCTGTAGTTGTTCTGGTGACTATAGTGTCCCTTTAAATCTTTGGATTGGCAAAAATCATCAATAATGTAGAGGGAAGCTATACAATTAAGAATATATTTTCCACATGTCCAAGCGGCAGTCATAGCTAGTGGGATGTAATTGCCCATTTCCCACAGGACAGGTAGCATTGAAAAGGTTTAACAAAATGCAGTCCCCACACCCAGTCTCCTCCCCTCCTAGCAAGAGTGCTTGCAGTCTTTATTTGCTGCATTTCGGTATGAAACACTACACTTGCAGAGATTTTTTTTATGTTTCTGCTGTAAGTGTAACTCCACCTTTAGCAGCTTCATTAGTACTTCATTAGCCATCCCAGATTAAAAGACTGGATATTGTCTAGTCTGTGCACAGAAGTGAAATTGGTGTCTGGCTTCTGCAACTCTATGTCAGAGTACTTTTAAAGTCCCTCTTTAAGGGGGAAAAAAATGTATTTATCACTTTAGCATTTTTCTCTATGGCACAATTGGAAGTCTCTTTATATATAATTTACTTGATGACTTTTTGAACAAACCTATAAATGGAACTTAACGGTCTTAAGCCATCTAATTTTTTTTCCACTCTTATCTTTAACTTATATTAATATGCATATGTCGCATTGAACCCATACTGTGTAACAGAGATCTGACCAGAAATATCTTCCTATAAAACCAAAATGGCTTAAATCATTAGCCATGCCGCAATGACCATGCCTATTGCCCTTACTGCCACAACACCTTACAATGCTAGATTTCTGAATGAACATGGTGTTTTGTTTTTTTTTCTTCCGTTTTTAGTAATTACTTATGATTACAATGGGGTATTGTTTGATTTACTCACTTTTGTTCTATTGCTTTGAAAATGACTTTTTTTTTTCTCTCTCTCTCTCTCTCTCTCTCTCTCAAGAGCTAGATATGTCAACCATATAAAGACATCAGAAGTTCTTCGACTTCCTTATCCTCTTCAGATGAAATCATCTGGTCCCCCGTCCTACTTTATTAAGAGAGAAACCTGGGGTTGGACAGACTTTCTAATGAACCCAATGGTATGTTTGTGCCGTAATCATTATATTCTAGATAATCAGTGATTTTGTTCTCCCTCGTGGAAGACTGAAACTTTGTATACTAGCAAAGACCACTAAGTATGCCAATTTATTAAATATCTACATTATTTTCTTAACTACATCCTCTTGGAAGTGGGAGGTATTGTATTTGCTCTAAAGTGCATGTGTTCGTATACCATTTGATTTTATGGAATGATGTGACAATTTATGTCAATTTTCATTTCAAATTTCATATATGTGATAAATATCTTTAGTAAATGAAGATAGGAGTCCCTAAAGGTATGGAGCCAAAGTGCATGAACATTCAAATAGCAGCCATGTTAAAGGACCACTATAGGCACCCAGACCACTTCAGCTTAATGAAGTGGTCTGGGTGCCAGGTCCAGCTAGGTTTAACCCTTTTTGCTGTAAACATAGCAGTTTTAGAGAAACTGCTATGTTTACGTATGGGTTAATCCAGCCTATAGTGGCTGTCTCATTGACAGCCGCTAGAGGCACTTCCGCCCTTCTCACTGTGATTTTCACAGTTAGAAGATGCCAGCGTCCATAGGAAAGCATTGAGAATGCTTTCCTATGGACTGGCTGAATGCGCGCGCAGCTCTTGCCGCGCATGCGCATTCAGCCAGGGATGTCAGAAGAGGGAGGAGAGTCCCAGCGCTGGAAAAAAGGTAAGGGATTAACCCCTTCAGTGCCACGGGAGTGGAACCCTGAGGGTGGGGGCACCCTCAGGGCACTATAGTGGTCCTTTAACAGTTTATATATCATAAAGGGCAAAGATATTCTTACAATTTAATCTATGCATTTAAAGCAAGTTTGGCTAGCATAAGGTTTAAATTTAATTATTGATATAGTGCTAACTATAATACCTTAAGTATAAATTTTAAATGAAGATTTGCGGTTTAAAAAAAAAAAAATACTCCAAAGGCATCCCGAAGCATATGTAGGAGATAATTCTGCAATTTCAGGAGCTATGTACTACAGCATAGCCTTGTGTGTAATTTACTCTATACTGCCTGTAATGTTGTAATGCAGAGATTGCTTACCCAGTGTTTTAGAGTAAAAAAAAAAAACCATGAAGATGTTTGTGTTAATTGATTATCACCCCATTGATCTGGCGTAGCAATTGGTTCCTCATGCTCAGACAAGCTCGTGCCAAAGACACATACCCATCATCATTCGTGTACTGCAAAAACACTACTTTCCATGTTGCAATTAATGAAGACCTCTATTATAATGGGAAGAGCCAATTTTAAGTTATTTAAGATACTATATATTACATTACAGTTGTTGGTCACTCTGCATTACATCAGTCCATAATTAATGGTGGTTTAAACCCCTTAGTGAAATTAAGGGCCTCAGTATGAGCAGTGATAGCATCTTTGGCACTGAATTTAGTATGCAAAACCTGCCATTCATCCCTTTTGTCATTTGTCTAGGTAATGATGATGGTCCTACCTCTTCTAATTTTTGTGCTGCTACCTAAAGTTGTGAACACTAGTGATCCTGAAATGAGAAGGGTAAGTAATACACCTTGATGATCTTGGTTTGAGCACAGTATGTTTGTCCGTTCCCCTGTGTATATTTATAAATGCGCTAATTGTTATTGGACATAGGTTTGAGGCACTTACTATACATTCTACAAGCAGGTGTATTTTTAAAAGTGTACATGTTTGGGGGGGCGTGGCCAACTGCCGAAGCAAGCGGTCGCATGGAGTGAGAGCTCCGCGCTTCGGATGACATAAACGCAAACAACTCCTATCATACACAGCCCCACAAGAGGCAAATAAGCTCAGGAACGAGATTGCAATCATGGCCCCAGCCAAACAAACTAAATTGACGGATCAAATTCGATCCGCGAGGAAGGACCGCATGCGGCCTGCACAAGATGGCGACGACGGACCAGCCTGCTCGCAATTAACTGAAGGCACACCTGAGCCAGAAGGGGAAACCTGTCCATACACGGACGCCCCAGTGACGGAAAAACGGCTGTATCTTATGTTACAGGACTTTCGGGTCACTCTTCAGTCTGACCTTAAAAAAGCGACTAGTGAAATAAAAAGAGAAATATCTGACCTGGGTGAGCGCACAAACCAGCTTGAAGCCCGCACAGATGACCTCTGCAGTGAGCAGAATGAGCTGGCAAGTACAGTACAGCACCTAATGGAGGAACAACTACAACTCAAACGCAAACTGTCGGACTTGGAGGATCGGTCCCGCAGAAACAATGTCAGATTCCGCGGGATACCAGAAAAAGTGGGCCTAGAGGAACTTCCCTCATTTCTCAAAGGGCTTTGCACCACCTTACAGCCTGATATAGCCGACGAAACATGGCTACTGGACCGTGCTCACCGACTACCACGACCACCGAGGCTGGCGCAAGATACGCCTCGTGATGTGATTGCAAGGTTTCACTACTTCACCTCAAAGAATGCTCTGCTGTCTGCATCACGTAACCTGGACAAGCTACCCGAACCGTACACCAACATTAACATCTATGCGGACTTATCAGCCCTAACAATGGCCAGGAGAAGAGAGTTTATAACGGTGACAAAAACCTTAAGGAACCACAACATCCAATACAGATGGGGATATCCGACGAAAATCATAATATGGAGGAACAACAAGAATCACACGGTTAATGAACCAGAAGTAGGCATGCGCCTAATACGAGAATGGGGACTGTTCCCGACACAAACGACGGTAGCGGCCGCTACTGCACCACAACGAAGAATGCAAGCAGAATGGCACATAGCGGGATCGCCGACTAAAGCATAAAGGACTCTGCTCCAGGGACTCTTTCCTCACCCAGCATATGCTATGTTGACCTACCTCACGTAACTATGACATATGCAATTTGACACACATGGTATTAGGAAAATGCACATGGCCCATGTAATGCCAGACCACGTGCTGTAACTGGCTGATTGTAGCTGGCACGGGAGGAGGGGGGAGCCCCTGGGACTGTATGTATGACAACATGTATATCTGGGCAATACGCAGTGGTTATGCAAGGGCTGTGTACCCTTCATTAGCATATAAGTCATCCTCACCCCCGCTCTTAACACCGAGCGCACCCCCACGGATGAGCGCAGATACTAGCACAAAGGGCTGGTCTGCGTCTCAGCCGGAGAAGGCGCCGATCGTCATGAGGGCGCTGTGTAAATAGTTATGTTGTGAAAAGTTTACTTCTGTTATCCCTACCAAAGTTTCTATGTTCCCTTGTCACTCCACCCCCTCCTAGCAGACCTATACCACTGTCAAAGCAAACATGCTTCCCACGATTTAGCAAACTGTTACCCACACAATATGGATAATACCCTAAAAATTCTTTCCATGAATGTCAAGGGTCTCAATAGCCCGCATAAACGCAGGTTGTTATCACAAGAAATGTTTCGCTCCAGGGCGGCCATAGTGTGTCTCCAGGAGACTCACTTCACTATACGTAAACCACTTACCTTTAAGTTCAAACAATATGGTCAAGCTTATCACGCCATGGCTACAACTAAGTCCAAAGGGGTCTCAATATATTTTCATGGGGACTGGGTATTTACGCCAGCCAAACAATACGTCAGCAAAGATGGCAGGCTGCTAATATTAGTGGGCTCATTAAACGGCCTCCAACTGACGGTAGCCTCCCTGTATGCTCCAAATGACACGCAAAAAGACTTCCTGACCAAGGCGTTCCGCAAATTAGACCAATTCAAAATGGGACACACTATTGTATGTGGCGACTTTAACTGCACGCGCGACCCGCACATAGACATGCAGCGGGTACAAAACCGACCTCCTAAACAAGTCTCTCTGTCCTTGAGCAGACACTTGACACACCTGCTGCACTCCTCTGACTACTATGACGTGTGGCGTAATTTATACCCGGGTATAAGAGATTATACATTTTATTCCTCAGTCCACATGACGTACTCCAGAATTGATCTCTGCCTCTTCGACAAGAGCACACTGCCACACGCTATAGACATGCACATTGGCCCCATCATATGGTCGGACCATGCCCCCTTGGAAATAACAATGAAAATACCACACCCAGCGAGGGGGAGAGGCACTTGGAGATTGAACGAGGCCCTACTAGACAACCCGCACCATTTTACGCACTTGAGAGACACAATAGAAGCATACTTTGAGGCTCATACACACTGTGAAACCACACTGGCAACACAATGGGTCGCACACAAGGTAGTTATGAGGGGAGAATTCATCAAGTTGGGAGCCAACACCAAAAGAGCAGCGGGCATAGAACACACAAAACTCATTCAAGAAATTACAGACACAGAACTCCGCCACAAGTCAAACCCATCCAAGCAAATCCACACACGACTACAGACACTCAAGACCAAATTACGCGAGTTGCAACTACAAACGACTGAGAAGCAAATGCGATACCTGAAACAATCTCACTATACACTAGGGAATAAAGCAGGCAAACTGCTAGCTGGCCGCCTGAAACAAAAATACCTCCAATCCAAGATTCCCTACATATTCTCCAAAAGTGGTGACAAAATCTACAACCCCCAAGACATAGTGAATACATTAGCGGATTACTATGCGTCATTATACCAACTGCATACAGACCCAGCAACACACCAACCTACCACAGCAGAAATAGATTCTTTCCTAGAAAAAGCTTCCCTTCCCTGCATATCTCCAGATTTGAGTGCATACTTGACCTGTCCCTTTACTGACGAAGAAATCAGGGAAGCTATTAAATCACTCCCTAAGCACAAATCCCCAGGTCCAGATGGCCTCTCCAATTACTACTATATCAAATACACAGACCAGTTAGCACCCCACCTCCTAAAACTATTCAATGACATTAAACAGACAGGAAATATGCCCCGAGAAATGCTAGAAGCCTTTATTGTCACATTACCCAAACCTAACAAACCCTCAAATCAGTGTGCCAATCTGAGGCCGATATCCCTTCTTAATTCGGACACTAAATTATACGCTAAACTGCTAGCCACACGGGTCAAAAGGCTCTTCCCTACACTTATCTCCGCTGAGCAGGCGGGATTTGTGCCGGGTAAGCAAGTGGGTGACAACACCCGCCACTTTCTAGATCTCATCGACTGGGCGAACCAATCCTCTCAACAGGGCCTGGTGCTGGCGTTGGACGCCGAAAAGGCGTTTGACCGCTTGCACTGGGGATACATGGAACAAACTCTGGCCAAAATGGGGCTCCCACCAGCCTTCCTCAAAAGTATAATGGCCCTTTACCAATGCCCATCGGCAAAGGTCTTTAGTACCGGCTTTCTATCCGCACCCTTTACAATACATAATGGCACACGCCAGGGTTGTCCGCTGTCACCACTCATTTTTATCCTCTGTCTCGAACCCTTGACGAAACATATAAATAATAATGCACAAATTTGTGGACTGTCGACACCAAGGGGTATGCAGAAGTTGGCTTTATTTGCCGATGACATACTCATGTTCATAACACAACCCACAAGCTCCATCCCTACTCTTCTAGGCCTTCTTAGCGAGTATGGAAGGGTTTCCTACTATAAGAATAACACTACTAAGACGCAAGCACTACCAATCAACCTAACGCACCAAACGCAAACGCAGCTCTCCTCTGACTACACCTTTGACTGGCGTAAAACGTCTCTCACTTATCTGGGGATCAAACTGACGAAATCCCACCAGACCGTTCTTAAAGAAAACCACTACCCTGTCATAAACAAACTAAAATCGACCCTAGAACAATGGGAAAACCTAGAGATATCCTGGCTGGGCCGGGTAAATACGATTAAAATGATGGCTCTGCCCCATATTTTATATCTCTTCCGTACGATACCAATACCACTGCCCAACAAATTAATAAAATTAATGCAATCTGTTATAAATGCGCATGTCTGGAAACGAAAACCCCCGAGAGTGGCCCAACGAAACCTGAGCTTTGCTTTCACCAAAGGGGGGCTGGGTCTACCTGATATTAAGACGTACTACAGGGCATCGATTTTAGCACAGGGAGTACGCATACTGAGACTTCAAGACAGCTCCCCTAAGCCACTATGGCTCACACTGGAAGATGCCTACCTGCACCCACATAACACGTCCCACACATTATGGGCCAGCGCCCCCACCAACTCTGACGGAACGTACCTCCCACGGTACTCCAGGTTTCTGCTGAGCTCGTGGCGAACCTGGAGTCATCTAATATTAGACCCACATTTGCTCTTCAGGGAAGCTCCCCTAGGGATCCTGACCATATTCTCTCCAGACCTACCTATGGCAAGCTGGATAGCCAGGGGAATACACAGAGTTAAGGACCTACTAGAGGGAAACAAACTCAAACTGTTCCCTGATCTCCAGAGGGAATTCTCCCTGTCCCAAAGGGATGTGTTCCTCTACCTTAGAACTAAAAACATACTGTTACCACACATACGCAAACCTAGTACAGGGTCCATGAACCCGCCCCTACCACTCAATAGGGCTCTCACCGCTAAGCTTGGAAAACCTCTATCCATGTGCTACAGCGCTCTCCTGGAGCCAAAGTCCTGTGAGAAAAGATCCTATATGAAGCAATGGGAAGGGGAACTGGGTTACCAACTAACTCTGGCACAATGGTACGAGGCACTATCCAATACAAAGGGCGCTTCCAAAAGCCTCTCGCTGTGGGAAGCATATTGCAAAATAGCCATGAGATGGTACCTAGTCCCACATAGACTAGCAAAGATTTACAAGGGCACATCTGAGCTCTGCTGGCGCTGTGAGGGGGGAGCGGGTACCATGCTACACATGTTCTGGGACTGTCACGCACTAGGTGCATACTGGACACAGATCCAAAACCTTATTTTGAACACTACAGGTCTCCTTGTTCAATTGCGTCCAGAACATTACCTGCTACACATGATTCCTGGTCTGTCATCACAACCCCACAAGGTAGTACTGATAAACATCCTCACAGTAGCAAAAATCTTACTAGCACAAAACTGGAAAAGCCAGACAATACCTACCATGGCTACACTCATGGAAAGAGTGGATGTCATAAGCTCCTACGAGAGGATGGCTAGTAGGGTACAGGGACAGGAAAGAAAGTACGCTGGGAAATGGGCAAGTTGGAACCTTAGGACATGAGTATCTCCCCATGTAGAGCACTCACCTCAGATAATACTTACCTCACAGCTGAAAGCTAAAATACTGGGAAGAAAAACTGGGAATCCTAGATCTCCCCACCCAAATTACGGTCTCCCCCAACCCCCTCTCCCCCCTGTGTTTCCATTCCCCCTCCCCTTATAAAAGGCCGACCACCCCAAACGACAAACTGATCACTACATGGTTTTGCAGTCAACGCATTTCTAGGGGCAAATAATGTGCCCATATCACAATGCAAGCAGAGAAATGAATGTACCACATGCTGTACAAAGTATCCACTGTAAACAATGAACCATAATGACGGCATGTATATCTGTAATGTAATAATGCACATACCTGTTGAAAGTATCTGACTGTAACGCAATATGTTTTCATGCTGTTGGCAAAAATAAAGACTAAATATGGAAAAAAAAAGTGTACATGTTTATTTGTATGAAGATCTGTTTTGCTAAGAACCCACAGAGGTAGATTTAAGTATCTGAATGTCAAATGTGTGCTCAACACAATTTTTCGACACACCTCTGGCACTCATAGGATTCTACAAGAACCAACATGTGTAATAATGAGATTAGGTAACACTTAGGTTAACCTGGTTGGGTTTGGTTTTGTTAAATATAAAAACAAAAAGCCCTAATTGCTCTGTACTATAAGCCCACTAATTTTCTCCTTTCTGCCAACCTGCCTTACTCGTTTTACCTCTAATAATGCAGCTGTTAGCAAAATTGTTTACTGTAACTAAACAGAACAGGTTTATGGGAGTTGTAGTATAGCTACACCTCCTTAATTGGCAAAATGTCATTGATGAAGTTGAACCCTTCCCCCTTTTTTTATTTGTTTTACAAATACATTTATTTATAAAATATTTTACCAGGAAAGATACATTGAGATTTCTCTCGTTTTCAAGTATGTCCTGGGTCCACAAATCATTGCATTGTTACATTAGGTACAACAAAAACAATATTAATACACAATATATACAAAATTTAACATAGAACAGGCAGGAAACATATAATCAACCATGACACGTGCATTCTGTTTTGAGGTATGTAGAGAGGGATCTCTTAAATTACTTTAGGCTTAGGGAAGATTTTAAATTGTGCGGGAGGTCGTTCCACAATTGCGGTGCTCTATAGGAAAAGGAGGATCGGGCCGCTTTCTTTTTGTATTGAGGTAGACTAAGTAAAGTGTTGGTACTGGATCGGAGCTTATAGAAAGTGGGAACAGCTGGGGAAAGCATTTTGTTCAGGTAGGGTGGGAGTTTCCCAGAAAAGCTCTTAAAAACAAGGCTGGAAAGATGAAGGGTGCATCTGGATTCCAGCGATAGCCAGTTTAGTTCCTTTAGCATGTCACAATGATGGGTCCTGTAATTACATTGTAGCACAAATCGGCAGAACGATTTATACAATGTGTTGAGTTTATTCATGTGGGATTGCGATGCAGATGCATATACTACATCCTCATAATCAATGATTGGCATCAGCATTTGCTGTACAATCTTTTCCTTTACTGTAGGGCTTAGGCAGGCTTTGTTTCTGTACAGGGCACCTAATTTTGGATAAAGTTTAGATGCAAGCTTTTCTATGTACAGGCCAAAAGATAGATTGGGGTCTAATATCATACCCAAGTATTTGAAAGAGTGGACTGCGGTCAGTGTGCCATTTGAATTTGTTTTGATGGATAGGTGGGAATTGTGTAATTTAGGTACTGTTCCAAAGATCATTGTGACAGTTTTGTCAGTGTTCAGGAAGAGTTTGTTTTTTGCGATCCACTTTTCTTCCTCTGTAAACTGGTCTTGGAGCACAGCCTCAAGTTGCGGTAGATTGGATTTGCTTGCATAGATTACCGTGTCATCTGCGTACATGTGTACATTTGAGGATTGGCAGACATTAGGCAGATCATTTATAAATAATGTAAATAGTAGGGGGCAGAGAATGGAACCCTGGGGAACACCACACGTGACTGGGAGAGGGAGGGAGTCGCTGTCAGAAATGGACACATATTGCGAGCGATCTGATACATACGATCGAAACCAGTTTAGAGAACGATCACCAATACCTGATTTTTTGAGTTTGTGCAGTAGAATGTCGTGGTCTACTGTGTCAAAGGCCTTAGCAAAATCAAGGAAAATAGCTCCAGTTAGGGCTCCTTGTTCCATGCCAGTTTGGATGTCATTGCAAACTTTTAGGAGGGCAGTTGTAGTGGAGTGATTCTGGCAAAAGCCTGATTGATCAGGGGTCAGATAGTTTAATTGTTGGTAGTACTCACAAAGTTGCGTATGGACACATTTTTATAAGATTTTTGACAATACCGGGAGCAATGATATTGGGCGATAGTTAGAAACCAAAGAAGTGTCACCACTTTTATGGATAGGCACTACTCTCGCAGTCTTCCAAAGTTTGGGTATGTATCCAGACACCAAGGATTAGTTAATTAGAGTTGAGACGGGTTTAGCAATTGCCGGCGCACTGAGATTCAACAGCATTGCTGGGATTTGATCAGGTCCGGGCTGGTTTTTCATTTTTAGATTATTAAGATGTTTTTTAATGGCACTAACAGGTACAGATCTAAAAATAAACTTGGCTTTATTGGGCCTTTGCAAATTTAGCGTGCCCTGATAAACATTATCTATAGAATAAGGTAGGAAATTGCCATTTGGAGTATCCTTAAATTGATTTTCTTTTGTAAATCTACAATTTGACTTTGTATTTATCATCTCCTAGGAAATGGAACAATCCATGAACATGCTGAATTCAAACCCAGAGCTCCCTGATGTTTCTGAATTTATGACCAGACTATTCACGTCCAAATCTTCAAGCAAGTCTAGTAGTAGTGGCAAAGCAGGGAAGACTGGGGTTGGGAAAAGAAGGTAGTGCAAGATGCCTATTTTCTGCCCATCAAACTATCCCAATGGAAGTCTGCAAAATCTGAATGCAGGAATTGGCCACTGTGACTAGCTACATGGCACGTACTTGCTGTTAATTCCTGCTTGCTGTCCTTGTTACCTTGAATTTTTAGGATATTCATTTTCATCTGGTAACGTTCCTATGTCCTGGTACTTCATGTAAAAAGTTTGTCTTGGCCGGTTAATCAGGATTGCAAATGTAAAAATAAATATATAAATTCAGTACAGTAGAACTATTCATGGAGTGATATTCACATTATGGTTCGTTTGTTACACAATGTAAAACCCAGACACTGTTTATTACCGAGGATATTAAGTTAATGCATAGTGTAATTAATATTGTTTATAAAGCTCTAATATATTCTGTATATTGTATATTAAGTACCATTTCATTTCTTAATATACTGCAATATATCTCTAAACTCAAATAATTCTGTCCTTTAAAAAAAAAAAAAAAAAAGGTAACCAGAAGTATGTAATTGTGAAAATAAATATACCTTGAAAAATAGACTCATTGTATGTAGGCACACGGTTTTTAAATGTTTTGACCTTATTACCTTGTGTTCGCTGGATGCCACTCTCTACTTCATTGGGCTTTAGCTCAGAGCTGAGTGCTTGACAACTTACATTGAGACTCTGGGGGCACCCCTGGCACCATAGCCACTATTGCCTACTGTAGTGGTTATTGTGCTTATAGTGTTCTTTTAAATAGCTACTGTTAAACTACAATTTCCATCACCCTGAAACAGGTTTATTAAAGCAGAATATTGCTAAAGAAGGTGCTTAGTTAATGCATTGTTACTTTGAATGTGATTATTCATACAAAGTATGTAGCACCATAGCCACCAATTTACAACACCTCATTTTAAGGACCACAGCTGTAGGGTTTATGGTACTTAATGTTTCTTTGTCATTGTACCCAATCCCGCAGCATAAGCAGGCACCTGATCTTCACTGCCCTTCCTATAGAGAAAACTGACAACTGATGACATACCGCTGGGTGGAGGTGAATATTAAGTTGATGGGCACTGACAAAGAACCAATCACCGCAATCCTTTGTTGCTTGGGCTAATGCTTCCTTATTAGCTTGACAGCTAGGAACTCTTGCTTAGTGTTAAACCATTCAAGCGGGTATTTAGGTCAAAAACATTCTTAATCAAAACATGTCGTGGACAGTAAGGGGTTTAATTTTTTTATATTTTATTGCATATTTTCACATTCACGATGATGGGTTGGCTGCTTTTACAGTATGCAGCCATTTGTGACACAGCAAAACATGTTTAGTGTAGAAGTGGGCATGTCACCACATGTTGCTTACAATCCACATTTCTATTAAAAGCTGTAGATGTTTGCATGAAAATTACCAACACTACAGCTGTTTAATTAGCGATATTATAGGATTAGTACAATAGGGCGAGTCCGTCTCAGTCAAGTGCTAAGTTTTGCTTTTCTTCCACATGTTAGTTTAAACAGTCAGCAATTTTTTATTTTTAATGTAATTCTTGAGTGCAAAAATTAATACAATACATTGAGGCAGGCATAGATGTATTTACAGCATGAGTACAGCAGGTCCCAAGTCACATCCTTTTGTCTCCTGGGACACTTCTTAAAATAGAGATGCAATTTGAAAAACACGTAGCCTACTCTATGGGAATAAGTTAGCTCTGTAAAATGAGAAAACATTACTGCAATTAAACCATTTCATTTTAGTTTAGTAAATAGATGCAAAAGGCTTCTTGGGCTAGTATGAGTGTCTTCTGCCTGTGCACCTTTTGTTGTGTAGTGAAAGTGTGTGTATGACAAATTGCTATGTTGTAAAAGGTCTTTGTTTTAAATTAATAATAAATATAAAACTAATGGATATGTTTGTGAGACATTTTATTTTGTGTACAATGTTACGCAACTGCAATATACTGGAAACACAAAAGGAAGCTCACCAACTACAGCAAAAATATTTATAAAATTCAGTTATAGCAATACTATACAAGAAACAAATAAAGTGAACAAGCAAGACAAAAAATTGTGATGTCACAGAACCCCCAACGAATCAGTGCACACACAGGTACCTTTCTAAATGCAGAGACACTGTGACTGTCCCTCGAGGAGGACACATGCCTCACACTGCTAGGCTATTTAGCTTTGTCCACTTTGTTTCTTATATAGTATAACTGTAATTGAATTTAATAAAAGCTTATTGCTGCTATTAGTTACTCGGGAGAGGTGTATCATTATGTTTGCACCCACTATTGAGATTAGTGACTTAATGCTCTCATATTAAATTTATATTTAACACTTCACCAACGTAGCACGAAAGACTTGCGATTTGATATTTCATGAGGTCTGTGGGTTTGGTGGATCAAACAAACCTGTATTTTTCTTTCCTCATTACAATTTATCCAGTTCCAGTTTGTGTCCTAGAAGCAGTTTAACAGTGCTCTATTACTAAATAGACCTAAAAAGAACCGTATAGTATGTATAATTTATTTCACACTTTTTTACTTTTTGAAAATAGTTTGCAGAAGATAAAAGAAAGTTTACTGTAAATGTAATTTTCCATAGTTCAAGCAGCAATCACAAATGGGTAGTTAAACCATTCTCTATCACCTGACAGGTTTGACATACAACTTTCATGTACATAAATATGAAAATAAGCACTTATAGAGACAAACTGAAAACGTATAAATAGCATTATACAGCCTAATGCATGCCAAAACAAAATATATAACCAGGCATACTTAGAGACTGCTATAAATCCCTTATATGTGGATAACTTGCAACGTGTATGGAAATATGACCCCAAACAAATCATTAACAAGGACTGCCTCACCAGTCATATACACTCATCAGCCACAACATTAAAAACACCTGTCTACTATTGTATAGGTCCCCCTCGTGCTACTAGAACAGTTATGTGTTGAGGCATAGATTCCTCAATATCTCTGAACGTGTCCTATGGTGTCTGGCACTGAGACATTAGCAGCAATTCCTTTAAGTCCTGCAAATTGTGCAGTGGGACCTCCATGGATCAGAGTTGTTGTTCCAGCACATCCCACTGATGCTCAGTTAGTTAGAGATTTGGGGAATTTGGAGGCCAAGGTAACACCTTGTACTTGTTCTTAAACCATTCCTGGCCAATTTTTGCAGGGTGCACTATCCTGCTAAAAGAGAACACTGCCATGAAGGGTTGTGCGTGGTCTGCAATAGTCTATAGGTAAGTGGTACATGTCAAAGTAACATCCACATGAGGGCCAGGAACCAAGGTTTCCCAGTATGACATTGCCCAGAGATAGAACATAGTAGACCATTGCCTCCTCTGGACTGCCTTCTTCCATAGTGTATCCAGCTGCCATCTCTTCCCCAGGTAAACAATGCACATGCATCTTGCCGTTTAAAGGACCATTCTAGGCACCCAGACCACTTCAGCTTAATGAAGTGGTCTGGGTGCCAGGTCCAGCTAGGTTTAACCCTTTTTTTAATAAACATAGCAGTTTCAGAGAAACTGCTATGTTTATTAATGGGTTAAGCCTTCCCCCTATTCCCTCTAGTGGCTGTCTCATTGACAGCCACTAGAGGCGCTTGCGTGCTTCTCACTGTGATTTTCACAGTGAGAGCACGCAAGCGTCCATAGGAAAGAAGGGCGACAGGAATGATAGGGGGACATGGAGAGCAGAGCAAGGGGACATGAAGGGGAAGGGGGCATGAATGATAGGGGGACAGGAATGATGGGGGGACATGGAGAGAAAAGCAAGGGGAAATGGAAGGGAGGGGCTAGGTGACAGGAATTGTAGGGAACACGGAGAGAAGGGCAAGGGACATGGAGGGAAGGGGGGACAGGAATTTCAGGGAACATGAAGAGAAGGGTCAAGGGGACATGGAGGGGAGGGGGACAGGAATGATAGGAGGACATGGAGAGAAGGGGCAAAAGGACAGTATTGGTAGGGGAACATGTAGGGGAGGGCAAGGGGACATGGAGGGGAGAGGATATAAATGGAATGGATAGGGGGAATGTAGGGTGGGGATATGTATTGAATGGGTTAGGGGACATGGAGAGAAGGGGCAGTGATGGAAGGGCGAGGGTGACATGGAGAGGAGGGGACCATTGATGCAAGGGGTTAGGGGACAAAAGGGGGAGAGAGACATGGATGACAAGGGTGGGGGGAGAGACATAGATGGAATGGGTAGGGGGACATGGATGGAAGAGGGGATGGAAACATGGGTGGAAGGGGGATGTCACCTTCCAACACACACTATCACAATCCCACATGCACTGTCACCCTCCCACAAAATTATGCATTTAATGTTAATTGGTTGGATATACCGAGTTTATTCATTTAATGTTAATTGGCTGAATATACCAAGTTTATGCGTTTGATGTTAATTGGCATGATTTCCAAGGTTTATGCATTACTACTCATTCTCATGATATACAAGGTTTATGCTTTTAATGCACATCGGCTTGAAATACAAGGTTTATACATTAATGAATGAATAGCATTGCCTTTGCCCCCCATGGTATATGTGTGATGGCGGAGATGTGCTTGCGTGCGTGCGTGCGTGTGTGCGTGCATAGGAAAATTCAGAACTGGTTACTAAAATATTTGAATCCCACTACTGGACTTATCTGTCTTTGAAGCTACACACACAATATGAAGCCCAGCCAATGTGCAAAGTGACTAGTGGAAAACTGATAAAGACATCTTCATATGATTAGAGCACCACTCTAGTGGCAGCAGCCTATATCATAGTAAATTCATTAAGAAATGATCTGGCCCTGCTGAACTACTCAACACACCCGTGTGGTGTAAAACAAGGTACAGTATTTCAATAACATGGCAAGTAAAAACAAAACCTTGAAACCTGGTTTTGGTATAATACTAGTAAACAACTCAGAATACAAACCAGTCATTAAAAATAAACTAGTGTTATCCCAACCCACAGAAGTTGGTTGACAATGTTCGACTCAATAACCAATCCCAGAAAGGCCAGATGGCCAGAAACAGACATGGTTTAGGTTGAGAGAGTAATAAAGCAGTTAGTGAGGATTATAGATACCTAGATACCTAGATGTTAGAAAAAGCTGTGTTTATATTAGTCAGGGTTACAGATAACTGGATTCATGTCATATTCAAAGATATCTAATAAATGCAGACGTTGGTCATACATTGAATCAATGTATCTCTATGTTCGGCGCCTCCTTGTAGAGCGTGGAGATGCTGAACATCAGTACTGTACAATGCAGGAAGCACCTCTAGTGACCGTTGAGTGCCTGCCACAGGAGGTGTCCCTAGGGAGCATTGTAAATACTGTGCTTTCTTTGAAAAGGCAGTGTTTACATGAAAATGCCTGCAGTGACTGACTATACACATTTGACTGACTATACACATTAAGCTGTAAGTTGTTCTGTTGACTATTGTCTGTTGTCCATTTAAAACAACTACTGAAATGATGTATATCAGACAGAACAGAAGCTTTATATAATAGGAAGTGCCAAAATATAAAAAAACAGTTATAATGGAAGGGTTTGATAGCTACTGGACCCGCAATGCAACCAGCTGCGTTGCTATGTGAGTGGAGGCATACTGCCAAGCTGATCAGAGCTAGGCTTATTCAGTATTTACCCGTTTGACGTGCTGCTCTGGCTTCCTGCGCTCACCATCAGGAAGTGCTACCTTGTCAGAATATTTATATTGGCAGACATTTTATGCTAAGATAGAAATTAAAAGTGTCTACTGCCAGTCACACTTAAAACAAAGCTGACTCCATTTTGGGTCTTCACGCTAACAGAGACACATAATTTCTTCTTGCTTTCAGTAACTCTAGTCATCAGCCTGTGCTAAGGAATGCATTATGTAAACACAGCAAGGATGGGGGTGGAATACAACCCAGAGACAAGTATATATATATATACATTATCTGTGCTCAGAATTTATCTATTATGTAATGGGATGTAGATGGAGAAGCAAAGTTGGTTGAGGTGTGCCTAAACCAACGTACGAGTAGGCCTGTAAAAGAGGGCCCCCAAAGGTGAATTGTTAATATATATGGGTATAGGTGGGTGGGGACAAACATCTTGCAAGACAAAGGTAAGTAGGGGGATAGGGTTTATATAGGATATAGGATCATAACTTCTCCCACAAATTCAGGCCAAATGGCCTTCCAACTTGTGCTCGGAATTTATCTATTATGCAATGGGATGTAGAAGGAGAAGCAAATTTGGTTGAGGTGTGCCGAAACCAACGTACGAGTAGGCCTGTAAAAGAGGGCAAAAGAGGATTCAAAGAAAACACACCTTATGCAAGTTTATACAGTGTGGGTACTGAAACCTTGTGAGGAGCTTTTACTCTGATTGAGGTATATATGTAACTGCGCTGAGGATTGCACGTGGCCCCGATACTTAGTGATGTAGACTGGGGTGTAAGATCTTGAAGCTGCTGATGCAGCGCTTTGTGACAGAGAGGCCGGTGAAGGAAGCCATGATGTAGCTCCAACTTAATGGAAGGTTTAGACGTGAAGTAGTGGATTAGGACTGATAGTGTGTGGTTGACCTTGGAGATGTAAAGCGGAGTGACAGCATAGGAGGTTTAAGAAAGATGCTTGATTTGTAGGTTTGGAGAAAAAGGCAAAAAAATAACCATATTTAACTGCAAAAGTCTTGATTCAAGCAAACTCTAATTGTGACATGTACAATATACAAGGCCCTGGCGTGAGTGATAGAGTAGTCGTGAAACTGCTTGAAGCGAGCGCACCTGTACATGGTGTAATTGTGGGCTTAGTCCAAGATTAGCTCATGGAATGGTGGTATCCTGGATGAAATGTAGTGGAACATAGGGAGTGCCTGAAAGAAGACCTTAAAATGAGAGCGTGCGAAAGT